ATGTGTGATAAATGTACTTGCTGAATAAGGTTGCAAGAATAAATATTTGGTTAAAATTGTAAAAAATGAAGAGGGAAATTTGAAAATTGGCATTATGTTTTTCAAGGAGGCCTACTTTACTTTCAAAATCTATATTATATGCTGTTTCTGTGACACTTTATTGTAGGGTACACTTATTATTATCTAACCACTAATCAGCATAGTTGTAAATGGTTTATTTGTCATTCATTAGTATTTATTTAGCCCTTATTAATGTCTAATTTCTCATAAGCTTATTCTCTTATTAGTTAAACATTTACCAACACTTTCCTAATATAATAATAAAATAATATACTCCTTATTGCTGCTTATTAGTTTGATACTAAGCCATTTTTGTATATGAATTATGATTTTTATAAGCTTTTGGGAAGGGTGTTGTTAAGGACTAGTAGCACAAGAAATTTAGTTTTTACTTATTTGCACCAAAAGCTTATTAGAATCACAATTCATATACAAAAATGGCCTAGTATCATATTAATAAGCAGTAATATAAAGTGTATTAATAGAACAGTGTTTGTAAATGTCTAACTAATAGCAGAATAAGCTTATAGGGAATTAGACATTAATAAGGACTGCATAAATACTAATTAATGACAAATTAACCATCTTCAACTATGCTAATCATCAGGTAGTTAGATGTTAATAAGTGAGTAAAATAAAGTGTTACTGTTGTTTTCTCATTAAAAACATAACTGAAGTTGTGTTTTATTTCATTCACACATGATTATTTAACATGCATATTTAGATATCTGAGAGTTCTTCTCTCCAATGGAAAACACTCCGTTCCACCTTGTGATGTCATTTTGTAAAACAGGAAGTGCTCCACTGTGTTTTTAAACTCCACAAATGTTCACTAGAATCATCTGGATGATTTCTGCTCTGGAATATTGAGCAAAAGGTAAATCTAGCCATTGAAAACCACCATTTCATGACATCACAAAGTGAAATAGAGCATTCTGAGCTTTGGTGATAAACAGACTAATAATAGACATGAGAGTTATAAAACAGAAGATCCTTTGTTCAAATCTATGTCTGACTGACCACTACATCTTTGCTATTGCGACTTTGGACCAGGTCTGAGCTCTCCAAGTCTTCTAATAAATGCCATTAGACAGTGAAAGCAACATTCAATCATTACCAATTGAAATCCATTGCTTTTGATGTACAATTACCACTTAAAACCTAATTTTATGACCAAAAGAATGCTTTATGTTAATACTCAGTGGTTACATGAGATAGATAATGGATAAATAATAGCTTTAAGATGGAATTTCCTGGTTTAAAGTAATTAGAGCTCATCACATAGGGGCAGTAGCAGTGGTTTGGACATGGCAACCACAAAGGATGTTTAGACCAATGAATAAACAACTGGGTGACAAAGACAAACCCACTGCCTTCAGACATTAGTATTGGAAAAATCAAAACCCATTCAAAGACGAGTGAAGATGTGTTGTCTGAAGGTGGTGTTTAAACCCATGATGTGCTAATGTGTCAGATTTATGAGACTGTTGCTTCACTGGGAAAACGTGATGCAATGATGTCTCCCCACAAAAACACATTATAATTGAGGCCTATAAGACAACTTGGTATAGCATAGTTCAGCTCTGAAAAACTGAAAATAATTGAATGGATCCTAATGTTAAGAGTAAAAGCTAAAAATGTATGATATAGGTACTTTAATGATTCATTGTGTAACTTCGGTGTAGTGTGAGCCACCTGCTTGTTTCCATGGAGATGTAACTGATTTGACTGGAGTATGGTATTAAAGTCATGAAATAAGCAGGGTTACATGTCAGATCTGTGTAAAGGTGATCCCACATAGAAAGAGTGCATGTGTTTCAGGGTATTTATTGTGGTAACTAACAAAAATATATTACGACTGGAGTGGGAAATTTGGATGTCATGCCCAGTGATACAAAAATAATACTGCCAGTAGAACATAAATAATTCATTTTAATAATGTTGAGACATTCTTGCTCATTTAATTTTACTTTATTGTCTTTCTCTTTAAAGAACACATATTGTTCTGGAGCCTATAGTTATAATCTACGACACGACGATGTCATAGTTGGGCAGCAGAAGCTCAGTTGGTAGAGCTTCCACTGATCCGCAAGTTAGTGATTCAAAGCTCTCCACATAAAAATCGTTGCTTGAGTGGTCAGATCCACTGGCCCACAGGTTGGCCGCACGTTTTAGCTCCCACAGATGAACGCTATCGTTGTGTCCTTGGGCAAGACACTTAACCCACCTTGCCTGTCTGTGTGTGAATGGGTGAGTGGTTACTTGTTGTAAAGGGCTTTGAGTGCCTTGAATGTCGAAAAGCGCTATATAAAGATGATATAGCTGATATGATGAGAAGATTTACCATTATTTTTATGTTTTAAAATGCAATATTCATTTAAAACGACTTATAAAAAGAAACAAATCCACTGCCTTTCACATTAGAATACTGCAGTGTCCAATGGGAGGTGACGTCGCTGTTAACACCATCACAACAAAGAGCTGTGATATAGCTGCAGATCATACTAACAAGTAGTTTATTTATTTATATTTTTTTCATTTGAACCGCAACGTCATGATGCTGCCGAACTCTATGTCTATAACCAATTAACAAAGTAAAACTGAAGAACAAAGTAAGTTCAGAGCAGTGGGTGTAAAATGGTGTCTAAAGATTGCTCAAACATGCACGAATGACTCCAAATACAACTTTGAAAGAGTAAACGAGAAGGGGAAAAGTCTATACTGTGGTTAAAAGATCTGAAAATTCAATTTTGCACAAAATGTCTGCTTTAAGAAAATGAAATAAAACTGCATCTTTCTTTCTTTTTCACTACATCTGATACTCTTCAACCAAATTGTAGACAGTCTTTTTCAACACACTATCTCTAAACAACTGTCTGAGGGGAGTAATAAAACATTTCCAGCTAAAAACTTGCTCTGAGCATTTTATCAGCTGACCTCCTCACCTCGGCTCCTCTGTGTGGCATCACTGTCCAACAAACAAGTCCATTAGAAAGATAAATGAGCTCGAGGAGGTTACTGGAAATTCAGGGGAGCCACCAGAAAAGGAGGCAAAAACACGTACACTCACAGACAGAAAGGCCAAAGAGACAATTAGAACCTCGTTAGCTTGATTGACTAAAGCTAACAATTAATTTGGAGAGGAAACTGTACTGGAGTAGTAATTGCTACCAGTGGTAATCTGAAACGCAGTAATGACCTTGCCACATGGGAGAGCTATAATGGCTGCAGTGGAGGTTGATGTAGTGTTAGGAATATGCAGTGGTGGAAACAGTACTGAAAGATGTTGTACTCTAGTAAAAGTACAGTTACATGGCTTAAACTGAATAAAAGTATTAGATATGCATGAAAAATACTATTCAAAGTGCTAGAGAGTACACAATTTTAGTTGTAAAACCTGTTGTAAAAACTGATAGACTTTTCAGAGCTTTTAATCATGTTATAGTTGTTTCCCTTGTCAACCCTCTCAGAGTTGTATTTGGAGTCATTTGTGCATCTTTAAGTATTCTTTTCAAGACACCATATTGTATTATATTGCTGTTCAACTTCCATGTTTACTGCCACTGGCATGTTCCCATTGCTCTCCACTTACTTTGTTCTTCAATTTTATTTTCTTAATCAGTGATACACACAGGATTTGGCAGTCCTTGGTAGACGCTTTGTTGTGACAAAGCAGTTTTCTAATGTAGAATCAGCCGACTTGTTTCTTTTTTAAAGTTGCTTTAAATGAATATTGTGATTTCCAGTGTACAAGTTATAACATGATGATCTACAGGTGAAATACATAGGTTGTTTTAAACTGCAGTATATTTGTAGAGATCAAGCCAGTCAGAGCAGGCGGTGAGGAGTCGTGATGTGTGTTTGTAGTATAACTGCAACTAACAATTATTTTACATTTAGATTTTTAAAAATACATATACAACCAAAAATATGGTAGAATAATTGCAAAAGTATGTTAATGAAAATAGTTAATTGCATTATTTTTGAAAAATACTATTTCTTATAGTCGACTTGTCACTATTAAGGGTATAGAAAGAAGCAGAAAGAGCTGTGAGACAATAGTGGATTGGGGCGACTGGGTGTATATATTTCTGATGTGATGTGATGAATAAATGAGTGAAAGTGAAACGGTGGTTACTAAAGCTTTACATTACAGAATTTAGATTATATCACAGAACAATCATGAGATGAAGGACCAGGACGCTGAAAGAGTTTCCAGACCTGAAACGTTACGCTGTGGCTGGAGACTGTCCAGACACTGACGCCATGTGACCTAATTCTGCAGATCACTCCTCGAGCTGGAGGTGAACCCACAATACATCCATGAGGAAAGAACCAGGACCACCAGCTCAGGGACTTAAAGGGGACATGTCAATCGACTTGCATGAGTTTTTAACCATGTTATACTGGTGTTCCCTCATCATTCATTTACCTAGAGTTGTATTTTGATTGATTCATGCATGTTGGCCTGTACTGTCCTGCATTCAAGGTTTGAGTCCTCCGAAAATGTCTGTTATCACATACCACCTATCTCCACCCACTGCTCTGCTTTTTCACAAAAATGTTTGGACAATATAATTAATATCTCTTAATAATGATCAAAATAAGATATAAAAAACAAACTGCAATCTTTTTCAAGTCAAGGCTCCAAGCTTCAGTTAAAATGTATGAATTACTTTTGGGAGCGTAGCCTATTATATGACTTTTGCACAAACTTTTAAATTTTTTGTTGTAATTTTGTTCCATAAACGTTTCCAAAACGGTCCGCTATAAAGGCTAAAGAGCAGGAGCAACAGAAGCTCGCTATGCCATAGGCTCAGCCTGATGATTCAGATAAGTCTTTTCCTGTCTTCCTTCCTTTGTTTTAGTTTCTCTGTCCCCCGTGGTCCTACTTCTTTCTCGCCCCTGTGGGCTGAGCCGTGTGTGGGGAGTCTCCCTCCTCCCTCCCTCTGCTCGTGTGTGCTCGCCGTGCCCAGATAAATCACTCCCCCTCCGGATAACCTGCACCGCTGAGGGGCCGCTCTCTGCAGACCAGAGCGAAGACCAGAGCGAGGAGGGAACCACTATCCGCTGCTCCGGGGACTCTTTTCATTCCGTGTCCCGTGAACTGACATCGGACGCAGGCAGCTTTTTGTTCAGTTTTAGTGTTTTTTCCCTCCACGATGGCCGGTAGCACCATAACTCGGGTGCTTGTGGCTCTGTGCATCGGGAGCGTGGTTAACTGTATGCCCAACAGGACGCAGAAAAGCCGGCGGCAAGCGCAGCAGCATCACGTCTCCTCCGTATCTCAAGGTAAGATGATTATATGAAATGATTTCACGAGGTCATTTTGAACTATCAAAGAGAGAATTTCAAGGAGATAACCGCAGTATTTAGGATAAAAAAAAGTTTAGGCTACTTTTTGTGCGTCTTCAGATTTGAATAAAAGTATCCTCTATGAAATTCCTGTGCATCTTTATCAATTTGCTTAAAAAATATTTGAAATTGTGAGAAAACCTCGCTGAAATATTCTCTGAATCTTTCCTCTGTAGTTCACAATTGTGTTTTTGACCCCTAACCTTGACCCCAGGAGGTCAATTGCTCAAGTCCATGTTGATTAATCAGGAAAGGTCCATTTGCAAAGTCGAGTGAGATCAACGTGGATGTAGATTGGAGCTGGGAGCAGCAGTATGCAAATGAAATGACTGGAAAGCTGCCATGTGGGCTGAATGTTTACTCTGAATAACATCATGTGCTTCATTAAAAAACAGAGGTATTTTTTAGGTCTTTTTACACAACTTCTCGACCTGTATACATTCCTTGAGTAGTTTGTGCATTACTTAGGGCACTACATATATTCAGGTTCTATTTTATATTGGTAGTTGTCTATTTCTTGTCAGCAAAGTGAGAAAAAGCATTGTAATATGAAGACTATAGAGACCATGCTACACTGTTATTAAAGTAGTAGTGATTATGTAGTAGTAGTAACAGTAACAGTAATGGCGTGAATCGTTAAAGTAGTGTTTCAAAGCTTTGTAATGCATAACATTACAAAGATGTTGCTTTTATCACCAATTGCTTTGAGTAATGATCTGTATTGTCAGTTTACTGAGAGTCAATAATTAGTTTCCTTCAGAACCACTAGAAAATGTCTGCTTACAGTACTTTTCTATTGTCCTTTGAATGAGATATGGACAAAAGCTGTGTGAAAGTACAAGTGTTCTCCATTCTCTTCTTGGTTCAATTGATTTACTGCTCTGGCTTATGGCCCTTTGAAGTGGAGTTAACACATCCAATCTTGATTTCACAGACATGGGTGAAGCCTCCTCCCTCCCACACGCAAATGTTTATTCCTGGTATCTTTTTGTCTTCTAGTCCCTGTGTGTACTTTGTGGATAGAACAACATCTAAGGCTCTAGTACTATTATTAGATTCCTTGCCTTGCAGTCTTGTAAACAGTATAATCTTGTAATTTGTTTTATGGTTTGGATACATGGTGCCAGATAGACAAGAGTCGCTTTGTGAAATCTGCTACAAGGTGCTGTCTTAAATATGAAAAACTAGTTCATTTTAAACATTTTTCATTGGTCCAAAGTTATTCCTCACTTACCTTATGTATTCTGAGCATCCTAATTATTCACCACAGTACGTTTACAAGCCCTTTTCACAACTTTCAGAGACCAGAGTGGAGTTTTGCGGTGACGATAAAGCTAACAACAGCACTTCCTGATTCTCAGACAATAAAACGCTTTATTTTAGATCCATATAGTTCACAGCTGACTTGTTTTGATAGCTGCTTATATATCTGCACTGGGGCAAGACAAAGTTTGTGCAAATACATGGGAAAAGTCTGGTACAGGGTCCTTAGGTTTTGGTTTTTTAACATATTTTCCTGTCTTGTTTCAGAGGGCTGCATGGAAAATGGTCACTTTTATGGCGTCAATGACCAGTGGGAACGGCCATACCTGGGCAGCATGCTGGTCTGCACATGCCAAGGAGTCGCTGGGATTAAATGCACAAGTAAACCAGATGGTGAGTATATCTTTTATTTGCAATTTACATTATAGGATATACTTATACATACTTATAGGGTTCTGAAATACTTTAGAATGCAATAAAAGGTGTTGCTTTTAGACACACCCTGAAGTACCCTGGATGTTCTTTCAGTGTAATTCTAATTTATTGGATTTGGCAATACTATACAGACCACCTAGCGTGTAACCTATAGCAGTGGTTCTCAAAATTTTCACACCTAAACCAAGACCAAAAGTGAACTGCACCATTTCCACTGTAGTTCTAAATAAATTAACCAAAACATGAATCAAAGTGGAAGGAGAAACACTGACCTTTAGCAAAACAGTGAATGAAAAGTGTTATTAATGGCTGCCTGTGTTTCCTTTGCAGAAGAAGAAAGGTGTTTTGACAAGATAAACCAGCGCTCCTACACTGTTGGAGAAACTTACGAGAGACCCAAGGACGGCATGATCTGGGACTGTACCTGCATCGGCTCTGGAAGAGGCAAGATTAGCACAATTGCCAGTAAGTATTCGAAAACTTTTATGTTGAAGATACTGTGCAAGAAACATGATGCAATTGACTAGCATAAATATTTGAAATCCAGGTTTAAATCTAGCAGTACTATTGTATTAAAAATGTATTCTTTAGGTCAGAACATGAGCACTTAATGAGCAGTTAATCATTCTTAAACTAGAACTAGATCAGGACTATACTAGGACCAAAGCAGGAAACCTAAATCAGGTCTCAATCAGGACTAAACCAGGATTAAATCTGGTCTAAACCAGGTCTATAACAGGACTAAACCAAGCCAAGATTTTATTCCAAATAATGTGAACTAAAAATATTATTCACTGAAAAAAATAATACTAGGGATGTAACAATAACTGAAATATCATGATATTGTATTGTCAAATTTCTCACAGTAATGTTGTGGATCATCACAATATATCAAATTACAAGTCTCTTTGCTTAAAGTAAGAGTTATGGTGCAGCAATAGCTAAAAATACAGAGGGAACTACATAGACCATGATCCTTTGCTCCATTTCAGCACAGACTACAACCAGAAATAACAGTTCTTAGCACTTTTAAGTCTTAGTTCTTTGGACTAAGTCTTGTCAAGACATTTTAAGAGGAAAAAAGTATCATTAACAGTTTTGTTAGCCTTCACCAAATATCGCTATAAATATCGTACTGAGAGATTTGGATATTGTTACATCCCTAATCGTGAGCCTCCCCACCTTATTTAGAGCTTTCCCATGATATTACAATAAATATTGTGTCGTGAGGTTCATACCATGACAATATCGTTTTGTGAGACTTGGATATCGTTACACCCCTACAAAATACTGAAAAAAAAAAAATTGAAGAACTAAACCAAAACTTAACCAGAACCTAAACCCTGGCTTAAAGCAACCAGCACGATCCAGGACCAAAATAAAACTAATCTATTTGAAATGAAAGAGCTGTCCTGCTTCCTGCTTATACACCATTTTGCCTATAACATCCTCTCCTCAGCTGATTAGCACAGCTAGCTCTCCTGCAGCTGTTAGCATTTAGCTGCGTGGTTAGATAATGGCATAGAGGTCTGATGTGGTGTTTTCATTTCTTTTGCGTGTTCTCTCTGTGCAGACATAAACACCCTTTTGTTCTTTTTTTTTGCCCAGATCGCTGCCATGAGGGCGGAGCTTCTTATAAGATAGGGGACACCTGGAGAAGACCTCACGAAACCGGAGGATACATGTTGGAGTGTGACTGTTTGGGCAATGGGAAAGGAGAATGGACTTGCAAACCAGTTGGTGAGTTAATGATTTTTCAAGGATAATTAAGATGTATTTCTTGACACCCAAACTTAATATACTTAATTATCAATTGTCAAAGCTAGGATAAAGTTTGTGCAATTAGGACCTAACCAGGATTATTGCAGATACCTATACTAGTAAAGCTCAATTCTGTGTGAAATAGGTGATAAAAATGAGATCCAGTGTAAATGAATGAATGAACTAAATGTTTACTAAATATTTGCCTGTTGCAGCTGAGCGTTGCTATGACAACAGTGCCGGGACGTCTTATGTAGTGGGTGAAACATGGGAGAAGCCGTACCAGGGCTGGATGGTGGTGGACTGCACCTGTATGGGAGAGGGCAGTGGACGAATCACATGTACCTCAAGAAGTAAGTGAAACATTGTCACTCTAACTACTAAGTCCGCTTAAAATAGCCTTACATAACCTCCACAGAGGATCCACTGTACAAAACTGTGTTAATTTCTGCCAGTGTTTCCCAAACATTTTCTCTCAGTTGCCCCTATTTTACCTGTAGATATGCTTTTCTTACATGAAAAGCTACTACCTTATAGGGAAAAAACAAACAAACGATTGTCTTGTTAGAGAATGTTACAGAATGGAGAATGATTATAAAACACTTAGTAAGAGCAATTAACATGCCTAATTCAATTTGTCTAGTTTGGACCTCTTTTTAACAACTTACGGAAAATATTTTTTACGACCCTCCAGGTGGGAAATCGTCATCTTTTATGAGTAATATTTTGTGACCTGTATTAAAAATAGATTTTAAATTGAGAATCTAGTAACCCATTTTGTGCTCACTCAATGACTGAACACCTGCGGACTTATCAGTTGCAGTTGTAACAGACTTGGATATTTGTTTCCATCACTAAATTACGCCGGTCAATTGGGATTGTACACAATTTAATGTTTATTTCATCTGTGCAATTTATTATATTATTATTCAATCCCCCTGGTAAACAATTTGGAGCTGTAAATGTTTTGTTGACATAATCAGTGTATTAGCCTTACTATTCTCATAATGAGTCTATTACAGCTTCATTTCTTAGGGCAATGCCATTCTTTTCATTTTTTTAAAAGCTTTGGAGGAAATGTTGTGTTCGCAATTACAACCATTTGTCCTTGATGAAACTGCCTAAATCACTTGACACGCACATGCAAAAACACTAGGTGGCCTCTGGATAGCACTAAATTATCTCACATTAACAAAAGAAAATGGAGAACAGCTGGTTGCCTGGGGAATCAACAAAAACAAACAAGCAATGGCTGTGACACACTTGTAAATGTTTGATTGAGCTGTTTTGTGTCAATTGTTTGAGACACTTTGAATGAAAATGTGTTGAAAAATCTCTTATGTCATTTCCACTGCCCAAAACCAAGTAAAGAAAGTTCATGATCTCAGTGTTGTTCCAACCAATAGAGCTCAACTGTGACTACCCACCCCCTGGTTCCAGAATTAAATTTCTTATTAATTTTCCCATAGACAAAGCCTCTGTGATTCCTTTGAACTATTAATGGTTGATTTTTCTATGTCTATGGAAAAAAAATGAATGGAAAATGTGCTTTTAGAACTGGAGGAGGCAGGTCACTGTTATGCTCCAGTAGGGTCATAACAGAACAAATAACAAATATGTCATATTCTGTATTAGGCCAATTTTGGAAGCTTGGTAAATTGTTGGTGTGAGTTTAAGTTTGTATATAAAAAGTCTATTGTAACTTTTTATTTTAACATACTATATAAACTACACAAAGGAGAAACTACTTTCTATATGCAATTATAAAACAAAACATGTAGATTTTTTTCTTACATGATGAAGCATAAAACCAAAATTGCAACACACACATTTCTATTATGAGGTGGAAAATTATAAGTAATCTTTCCCAATGTGTGCAGTACTTTGGAAATCAGTTGGGTCCATTAGCAAATATTATGTGACGAGATGCCCTGCCCAATTCTATGTTCTACTTCCTTTATCCATGCTTGGGACTGACACTACGAACTTGCGACCTGTCAGTGGATTAAAAAGTCTTCTACATGTCCATTGGTTTTTCAAGTAGCAATTTACTATTCTAAACACATCCGGTTTCAGCTTCCTGTTACATACAACAGTTTGAGGCCTTGTTTTAATATGACTTCTATAACAAGAAAAAGGCATGTGAGTCTGAACCAGTAATTGAGATGGTATTACAAATGGTATTCAAATAAAGATGTAACACACCCAAATTTACTAATCAAGGTGCAAATACAAGGGAAAATGTATCTATATGTATCTTATTTTTCAGACCGCTGTAATGACCAGGATACCCTGTCCTCTTACCGCATTGGAGACACTTGGACCAAAACAGACGCGAGGGGCAACCTGCTTCAGTGCCTGTGCACTGGGAATGGGAGGGGAGAGTGGAAGTGTGAGAGACATGCCTCGCTTCACACCACCGGACTGGGTGAGAACTGATGCCCCCTGCCCCACTGCCCCTCTGCCCCCTATGGCCTTAGTGATTACAGAGGGAGAAAGAGCAGAGGCAGCTGGTGTTTGGGGGGTAAAGATAAGAAGCCCCCCACCTCCATAGTGTTGATGTGAGAAAGACAAGTCCTCCAAGTGATGACCTTGTGAGAAAGTTTGAGAATTAGGGCAAAGGAATAGTACAATATAATACAATGAATAAATTACCTTCATATAGAAAAAAGTACTTTTAATTTAGGCTATTAAAATTGATTCCTCATTTTTATTACTTCTACAGTAAGTTGCAAAGGAATACTTGTACCAATATGTACCAAAACTGAACTAAGTTTACTTAATATTCAAAGCTTGTCTAACTGCACATAAACACATATTTGTACATAATTTTGTCACTATTGAACATTGCCATTTTAGGGAGTTACACTTTATGATACACTATGTCAATTAAGAAAAACGTCCTTAATGCAGTTAAGTTTATCTGCTTCTTCTGAAATATTATATATTCATTTGTATCTGAATGAAATACCTATATTATTATTTAAATGCATTTTTACTCTATGAGCAGTTGTTCATACTTGAAAAAGAAAATTTAAGTTTTAGATCTTAACAAAAATAAAGTATTTGTAAAAGATAGATGGAATTAATTGTCACCGTCTTATCCATACTTGACCACAACTTATTCAGGACTGATTAATATTTAAACCAATGAGACTTGATTAGGTCTTGTTACCAAATTATTAATAACATATTTTCTTGTTATTTCCCAGGCACTGGCTCTCGCGTGATCACAAACATCCAGCCGGTGGTCTACCAGCCGGCAGTCCCTGAACTACCTCAGGAGGGGCCCTGCAGGTCGGACGCTGGGCTGTATTATTTCATTGGACAGAGATGGATCAAGAACCAGGGAACCAAACAAATGCTCTGCACCTGCCTCGGCAACGGCATCAGCTGTGAACAATGGGGTAAAATATTATTCAGTTACAATCATAATTTTTACATAATAATTACAGCCTCAAATTAACCCATTCTATCCATACAGTTAATGTCTATATTATTGGTTCATGAACTAGCTATGAACACATTAACATTATATCCTAATGTCAATATTCAAATCACTTATTTATTTTCAACAGTTTTATTTTAATGTTAGACAGTTAAGTATATTTAATTGTGCCTATATAGAACCCACCCACAAACATGCTGTACTTCTTTTAGCTATTGTCATGTGTTAATTGTCTAAGTATTACTAATGCATATTGTTTTGTATAGATGGACCTGCTGCTGTCTATGGAGGTAATTCTGGTGGGCAGCCCTGTGTTTTCCCGTTCGTTTACAAAGGAAAGACTTACCACACCTGCACCTCGGACGGACGCAGTGATGGACAGCTCTGGTGTTCCACTTCATCTGACTTTGAGACCGAACAAAAATACTCTTTCTGTACTGAACAAAATGGTAAGAAAACTACAGCCTATTTTATCTTTGGCAGTGGAGCAGCCTTTATTTTTACACTGAGTACTATTTAATGCATATAGTCATTACTGGTTTTAGTAGGTGTCTAAGTAGGGGTGAATTTTGCCGATATCCCAGTGACAATAATCAGATATTGTGGCAATTCAAAAGAAATATGCTAAAACATGTCTTTAAATAAGTGTGAAATAGTGACATGCAAATTTTTTATACAAAACAACAATCAATATATGTAGAACTTTTTTTGTAGGAAATTCGAATTAGCAGATTTCCTTACACATAACTTTCATATAACTTCCCAGCCAACTTTTGTTGTTGTTATTTTAACAATTCTTCTACTCATTTGTTCAGACACACTTTTGATAATTTATTTATTTCTTAACTTGTTTTGTCTTATCAGCCATTGTGACGACCAGGGGAGGTAACTCCAATGGCGCCCTGTGTCAGTTCCCTTACATCTATAATGGACGGAACTATTCGGATTGTACTTCTGACGGGAGGAGAGACGGGATGAAGTGGTGCGGCACGACAACAGACTACGATGCTGAGCAGAGATTTGGATTCTGCCCCATGGCTGGTGAGTAGTGACCTGTTTAAAAAACAAGACTTTTTGTCAATGTTCTGCCTGGTTTTTAAAGACCCCTGTGCTGTATGTTAAATGTACCATCCAGATGTTCGAATGTGTTACCTGATTACTGTATTTGTATAAATCTTTTAGGGCAGTGAAAGCTCCCCACATTGTTGACACAGGCTAGATAATCTCATTTGAATTGACTTCTTTAACTTGCAGATGAGATTAGTGAAGATAACCTCAGTAAATGTGAAAGTTGTTGTTCTGTCACTGAGGTGTCAATTAATCAATCAAAAGGGTAAAGAGAGTGAAACATCAGGGGGTAACTGAAACAACATTGAGAATTATGTTGATGACTAGTGAAGATTAGAATGCCAAATACCTTAACTAAGTGTAAAAATGTCCCTCAATAGAAATAACATGAGATTAATTATAAATGTTATAGGCTGAAATAGTTTCATACCCAATCAACATGTTTTAGATCAAGACTAAACCATGGCAAGTGTAAACGCATCCATAGTCATAATAAAACTATGTAATTATACAAGTTACCATGCAATCTGACAAATGACGTTCCTCCATTATTAACAGCAGTTTACGAGAAGAACCAATAGACATATTTCAGATGTATGCAGTAATATTGAATTGTGTATATATTCTTCAATTTCCCACATTTGAGTTGTGTTTTTGAGTTATTCCGTAACAAAATAAACAAGTGTGGATTGTATTTCCTCTCCTGCAAAGTTGAGTTAAGGCCAGATGCCTCCAGTGTTTGAGCAAACCATGCACAAATCTTCCCTTTTAAATGTTATCTGATTGGATCAAAGCATTTGGTGTCTTCAGAACATGTAGATATGTAATGTGCCTTAAGCTACAATCCACAGGAACAGTGAGTTAAGCCCTGGCAGACTCCAATAATTGAATGGCAGACCTATAAACATAATCCATAGCAGCTCTAGAGAAGCACTGTTAGTATTAAAAGTCTGACGCAGAAATCCCATCTGGTTTGTCCATAGTCTGTAATACATTATACAGCTGCAAGGGCAATGGATACTTTACTAGCACACTTTTGTATTGCCTATATATGACAGTTTAGACAGTAATTCATGCATTGGCCTGTGTATCCCAAAATGGCATCATGGAACAGTTCTAGTGTTTTTTTTAAAGTTAGACAGTCTTTCTTGCAGTGTAGTTCTTGTTGATGTGCCTAGGTATAAGTGTTCCGCAAAAAAATAAATTGTTTATTGATTTAATTAATTAATTAATTAATTAATTAATTCTTTATTTCAGACTCATGTTCAGTCCATACTTGGGAAAAAAGAAGGAATAGGATACAAACTATACAAAGCAGCCAAATTAGTACATAAAATTTGACTTTTCACTGAGACAATACTACTAACTAGGAATTTAAAAATTACTAGCACACTAATTATACTTGATGATATTTCTAGATACAGTATGTGCAAATATGTGACCGTTTAATGCAGAAAATCCTATTGCTTCACTATACAATTCAATGGCACCACTCACTCTTATCTGAAACTGGATATTTAGATGTTATAGTCAAACATCTTTTCAGCTTCACAAGCCCTTTAGCAAAAAACATTCATACATATATTACAAGAAATACTAAATTGACGTATTACAACTGATTATTGCTTCATTCTTCATAGTGGCTGTATACTTTTTTAGTCAAGACCTCAAGTAAAACATTGTCTCTATGTTGCCATCACATGACAGACCTCTTTCAGGGTAACATAGTCCGTTAGTAACCCTTAGACATCCAGGCTAAAGAAAAATGAGGTAAAGATATAAGTAGGTGTGAATTATTCTTGTAAAAATGAAAACAAAAACCTTTCCTTCTGTGTTATTTCGATCTTACTGACATAATAACCCAGCCCTGACCTAAAGCCATTTGACAGATTTGCACACTTAAATCACCATTCGTTATTGTCATCCCAAAGTTACTGCCCAGCCACCAGTCCATAGACACTGAGTCCAAGCTGAAAGTCCCATATGGTGTGGCGCCAGTGCAGAAGCAGCCTGGCATTTGCCCCATATCTCTCCTCCTCCTTCTCTCCTCCTTCCTCTCTCCTCCTCTTCTATGCTCAATTTAACAGATGTTTTGGGACAGTCTTTCTGTTCTCTCTGCCTTTTTACCTGCAAAAACAGACCTACCCTGTGGAATAGAGCTTGAGTTTCGTCACTGTATAATTTATGCCCCCATTTGAAGGAAATACAGTCATTACTTAGAGATTTATTACAGGAGTGCTTGTGAATGACAAAGACTTTATATGGACTGTAAAAACACCATATACTGTGGACTCAACTTCAGGGACAGTCTATAATGCAGTAGGACACAAATGGATTTTTGTACCACATTGTTTTTCAATTTGGTTGGGTTTATTGTACTGAAAAACTCAGGTCCTTACTATGAACAGGCTTGCATATCCACAAACCTGACTCATATTTGACTCCTTCAGCTTGTTTCCATGGAAATGTTGTCCTTTTGGCTATAATCGCCCAAAGTATGGCATAAAATGTACCTATCTCCATGGAGAATATATGTTTTTAACCTCTTTCTTGTGGGGTAGGACCAGAAATTAAGCATGAGTTTTTCAATGACAAGGTTTAAGTTAGAATTGGATGGGATAATAACTTTGGTTTTAGAGAGGCCATGGGAGTTTGATCTATACAACTCATACTTTTATTATATGTTTGGGCAAGACATTCCCCCCAGCTAAATTAAACCAAATTATGTGTGATCGGAAAAGCACTGGCATATATCAGTGACATCAAGCAGCAAAATACATAGTGTAAAATTTATTAGATATAATTCTGTAGGCTGTTGCTATACCTGATGCAAACTGCAAACTGTGTGGCTGCTTTTAAACTTTCTTATTGCTTAATTAAATTGTCCAACTTTGTAATTTAAAGTAATGAGACGTGTGAAATGTGTGAAAGGGTGCATAAATACCACACCGTATGCCAACGTGACATGTTTCTTCTTGTTCAACAAACATGTATATCTCTTGATTATAAACTCCACTCTTAATAACAGAGACACACTCAGTCAAGTCAACACACAGCTGGTTTTTGACTTTCTATTCAGGAAGTTTCCACTGGGCCCAGGTGCTGTGTTAAATAATAGTAGACTAGATCCAGTAATTGCAAAGAGAAGACACTTGATTTCCGCTACTGAATGACAAATATTGCTGTTGAGACTCCCACTACAGCTCTTACGACTACTATTACTACATAAATTGATGTCACTACCTTTATCTATCACTATAAAGACTATTCTACATACTACTACTTATCTGCTAAAGACTGTATAAATAACATGATAATTATTCTTACTATGACTGTGAAAACAACTTGTAGTCTAGCACTTAATGTTAACATGATTACAGTAGTACTACTTATACTGTTACTACTGCTACTACTACTACTAAGACAAGTACTAATGCATTTACTGCTACAACCTCTACTAATACACACTGTAATTAAATCACAGTTGTGTACTTTATGTATTGTATTTCTTTATGTAGTGCTATGTTAAAACTACCATAACTTCTTCTATACCTTTTCTACACATACTACTTCTACTACCAATACTACTGCTACTAATGCAACCACTATTACTGCCACCACTACAACTACTGCTACAATCACAATCACAACTATGACTACAAACCAGAGAACGTTAAATAGGATTGCTAGGTTAAATTTTGTAAGCGTATTTGTTGTCTTGTTGCTAGTTTAAATGCATTAACTGTGTTTTGTTGTATGTTTTAGCTCATGAAGAGGTCTGCACCACAACTGAAGGGGCGATGTACAGAGTGGGCGACCAGTGGGACAGGCGCCATGACGTCCTGGGACACATGATGAGGTGTACCTGTGTTGGAAATGGGAGAGGAGAGTGGAGCTGTGTCGCCTATTCTCAACTCAAAGGTACAGATGCAGGTTCACATTTTACAATATCTATAGTTTAAAACTGAGTCAGGGAGCAGGTCAGAATTCATAACTCTCAGCTGTTTTACCTGGTTTGTGGTTTAAATTTCTATAGACAGGAGCCTATACAGATCGATAGAAAACAAGAACTGGTACAAAGTTCAGTGCCTTCCTTAATAGCAAATTTGAAAGTTCAGAAGGGACTTTAAGCCAGAAGATGATTTTAAGCACATCTGTAGGCAAAATTCCTGATAGAAAATTATAAAGTTTAACATAAAAGGATTTTCAGTTTTGTTGTTTATTTCAAAAACAGGAAATTTTACTCATCTGTTGTAAGAAATTTAATTAAATTGATGTAGAGATTTGGGAGGGCAACTGATGACAGAGATACCAAAATAAAGAGAAGGCTGCTGTCTTGGTCTGCGGGTGGTGCATGATAATTAAAGACTAGCATTAACATTCTTGACACTAAAGGTCAAAAGGTCATGTGGTATAATCGCTCACCTGCAAAGTCTAAGCCAATACACGTGCACTTTATAGTGGTTTTAGTGCACCTGCAAGTTTGAGTTTCCATTTGTGAAAAAACAGTACAATATAATAATACAGTATTTGGAATTAATTTTAAAAAAATTTTTCTTTCATTTTTGTCTTTACCACATGTTTACCCCTTTTTTGAATAAGTGTGAATACTCAGAAAGAAATTAGATTACCCGGCGGCACGGTGGCTGAGTGGCTAGCACTCATGCCTCACAGCAAGAAGGTTCTGGGTTCGATCCCCGGGTTGCCCGGGCCTTTCTGTGTGGAGTTTGCATGTTTCTCCCTGTGCCCGGATGGGTTTCCTCCGGGTGCTCCGGTTTCCCCCATCAACCCAAAACATGCTACATAGGTCTCCATAAACAGCTTGATAGTTGTGGTCAGTTAAATACAATCAATTCAATCATTGTGTCCTTAGGCAAGACACTTCACCCATATTGCCTAGTATGAAAGTGGTGTGTGTGAGTGATGGTGGTGGTTGGAGGGACTGATGGCGCCCAGTGGCATGGCAGCTGTGCCTCTGTCAGTGTGCCCCAGGGCAGCTGTGGCTACAATAGTAGCTTATCATCACCAGAGTGAATGAATGCTGTGTAAAGTGTCTTTTAGGACAGAAAATGTCTGTGAAAGCGCTATATAAATAAAGACTTACTTACTTACCCACACCGGATGATGTACATGAAATTTCAATAATCTGAAAACTCCAGAAATCATATTATGATCAGATTTTTGGTGTGTATGAAAATGTAACCAGCCAGTGTCCTCTGTATTTTGTATCATAGATCAGTGTATTGTGGATGGCTTGACCTATGAGGTGAACCAGACTTTTACCAAACAACATGAGGAGGGCTACACAATGAACTGCACCTGCTTCGGACAGGGGCGCGGTCGATGGAAGTGTGACGCAATTGGTGAGTTCATTTAAAAAACTAAATTGTGCTAAATCGTGACTCACTGCTTTAATATCCTTTTTATGTTTTTTTTTTAATTTTTTTCAGACCAGTGCCAGGAGCCAGAGACCAGAGCTTTCTATCAGATTGGGGAGTCATGGGACAAAGTCATCCACGGAGTCATGTACAAGTGTTATTGCTATGGCAACGGTCTCGGAGAGCTGAGTTGTGAGCCCCAGCAGTCCTACCCAGGTAAGCATCTTATGTCCGTATGGTATGGGGTGAAAGAATAATAATCTATAAAGCCTTTAGTCCATGGATGTACTAGTCTATGTGCTCTTATATTTGATACAGCTCAAGATCATTCTAATGCTATTCAGCTATACTAATGGCTAATAGCTAATGTTATTCATGCTATTCAATATCATGTAGACATGATATTACATACATGCGTAGTCAATAAATCTTTTTCACTTACTACTGATATAAACAAACTTGATATATTTTCACCTTTGAAAAAACAACTAGAGTAAGATTTATGATTACAACTTAGATAATGGATGTTTCTTTTCATGCTTTGAGACAGGCTTTCATTGTATTATGTGTATTCAAAAGTTAACAAAAGGAGCCTCGTTAGCCTGCTGTCCCAACACCAGTAACTGACAGCTTAATGGCCCAAATTAACAACTCTTTCCCCCAAATGTTGCAGTCTAAATGTTTACTTGAGGCAGGCCTTTTGACTTTGATGTGGACAGATTGCGATGGGATGGGGTGTGATTTCCTCTTTGGGACTCCCTCCTCCCCCTGCTCTTTGTTCCTGTCTGCATGGGGCACGTCCTGTGATGTTGCTACAGCTGTACAGATCAATGCCTGGCCTTTGTATGTGTGTGTGTGTGTGTTCATTTTAAACCCAAACATGATTTAACAGTGAAGAATCAATGTCAAAATAAGGGCAGAATTACTTTTTACTTTAAGGCCCTATATTATGCTATTTTCTGATCTATGTTATTATGTTCCTCATCAAAAACATACCTAGGGTTGTTTCATTCACAAATGTTTAACACACAAACTACATATTGAGGCTGAGTTCTTCTCCCAAACAGAAAACACTCTGTTCTACTTTGTGATGTCATGTGGTAATACAGGCCATGCTCCACTGTGTTTTTAAGCACATACACCTGCACTAGAGTCATTTGGATGATTTCGGCCCTGGAATTGCCAATTTCTACAGAACCACAGGTAAAAGAAAAAACAAACAAACAAAACAAAACGACTGCTTGACATCACAAAGTGGAACAGAGCATTTTTAGGAAAGTGTTACTCAGACATATGAATGAAACAAAACACAACTCCACTCCAGGTATGTTTTTGAGGAGGAAACAACATTATTACATGGCTTAAAACTCACAAGAATCTAATTTCTTTAATATAGGACCTTTAACATTTCCATTGTAGGCTCCATGGATCAAGATCGAACTGCAGCTTTTTTGCAGTGTGCATAGAGCAGGTTGACATGAGATAGAAAATGTAGGGCACTTTTCAGTCTTTGTAATGACAACCAGCTGCGATCCTGTGTGTGCGAATATGTGTGTGTTTTTGTGCGTTCAAGTTCACCAAGATTTAAGGCCAGCGTGAGGGTTAGTCCAGACCTCAAGCTCGTCAGCTGCTGCTATGTAAAAACTCCATAAAAGGCAAAAGTGGAAAACCCAAAGTGGAGAATTTTAATAGTGTTTTAAAAGTCTCACATTTACCATTGCTCTGATACGATCTTTGCAAAAATGCAGTTTGCTTTTGCAGTGTCTATGTTTCTCATCTTGTAACACAATCTGTAGCCCATATCATGTTGTTTGGGGTTCTTTTAAGGGGGTTCTTTCAAGTTCATTGCCCCGTAACTACATTGTGCATCTGTCTGCATCAAGTTATGTCTAGCACTTGTGAGAAAAGCATAGATTTGAGGTGAATTTGTCTGGAGTAGGGTTGCAAAACAAAATGTCCTGTTTTTATTGCAAAATTTCTCTCCAAACATTATTGAGATTAGTTTATTAGTTTAGCAGTTTATCTTCTCTTAATTTTTAATTTTTTTAAATCTGCAACCGTAACCTTTTGAGCTAAGGTTGTCAAAAAACGTTTAATCAGATAATGTCTGTGCAATCCCTCAGTTGTTGCAAAAGAAAAATCCAATCAATTTTTTGCTATACCCACATGATCAATACCAAAACTAGTACTGAGTGTTAATACTGAAAAAAACCATATACATAAAATAAAATAACCTTTTTTAATAGTTTTAGGTCTTGCCCTGTATAAAAAAATCAATCTTCCACAAGGCGGTATAAACAAAACTACTATTTTGCTGAAAATTTTCTCAAAAAAGTGTGTTTTTTAGTATTGAAAGTCTGGTGTCAAGTTAGAAATTTGAGTATCACAACAGCACTACTTGAATCCTGATTGTAAAGCTCTTTGTCTTAAATGCAAAGTGTATATCCGTTTCATACTTACCCCACATCTGATTTTGACTAAGCCTTCTCCTCTGCTCCGTCAGTGCTCTGTGGGCCTGTAATAATCCTTAATTGGTCCCAGATTGTTTTTGAGGTTTGAGTATCGGCGGGCAGAATCTGGTTAACCGCGCCACTTGCTCAGAAACTAAGATTACAGGTTTTTGAATTGGGAAAAGCGGTTTCGAAAAGATCTTTATAGAAGCTACCAGTGCGCTATCAACACAGTCTGCATGCCATATGACCTCTGTATGCATGAAGGGTTTTAGGAAGATTTATCGCTGTTTGAGTGCTTTGATTTGGAATCCCTGGTTTTGTTTCTTATGGTCATATCATTTTTCTCACATACCATGAAGTCTGAGTAGAAGCACAGTGTTGAGAGATGAATCTTTGACTTACAATGTACAAATTGTGCTAATGCAATGTCTGCAAAGTGCACACATGTTAGCCAGATGTTTAATCTTATATCTAGGAATGTGCAAGATACTGAGTTAAGAATACAGCATCAAAATCATACTGAGATTATGGGTCAACTATAAACAAAATAATAACTATACATAAGTAACAGTTACATAACACATACAGTACAAATGAAATTTCTCTGCACTTGTATTGCTTGATATTGGGTATCGACAAATACTTAAAGCCATAGTACCAAATTTGGTGTTGGAACTGAAAAAAGTTGGATCAGTGCATCCCTAATTTATTGTCTATATTAGCTTAGTAGGGTTTATGGAATTATCCCAATGACAATCCATAGAAATCCATCAGAGATTGGATGAAATGTAAATTAATTACAAATATAACTGTTACCTGCATTTTTATAACTGTATTTTTATTTTTTTTGTCATTAACTATGGTATATACACAATATTCAAATTTGGCATAACTCCAAAACAACCATTGCAATATTATGCATTTATTCATGTAATCACTGTTATGTTTCTAGAAAGTGGTTGCTGAAAGAACATGGAAAGCGGTTGCATTGCAGCTGTAGAATTCTTTAGGAATTTCACACAGAGCTGCCAGGTTCTTCTCAGTTTCTGTGGACATTCTGTTACTCAACATATTTTAAGTTTGGCTTTGGCTGGAAGCTTATACAGAGTTGCTTTATTTATTAGTGTGTGTTCTTTTGCCAAAATTAAATTATTGATTGTAATGGTACTGTGTTCTGTATCTCATTAGAAGATAAATTGTTTTCCTTTGAAATTAAGTGAGAAATTTTGAAATATAATACATGTAACACAAACGTTGTACAGTGATTTTTAAATGAATTCTGATTCTGTAAAATGAAGACAATTTAGTCATGGTGGGGTGTATTTGTTGTCCTATGCTAGGGCTGAAAATAACAACTCTTCAGGAAAGGCCCAGTTATGTCTTATTTAAATTTTGCACATTTTCACATTTTAACAATACTTTTCAATTGAGTATCTACGTTCAGTGCTAGTTCTAGTTTCAGTTCTCGTCCTCGTTTCAATAACTATTACCGGTTAGTATTTTGGTAACCCTATTATGAGGCATAGTGGATGATTTGCTTTAGTGACCCCAAAACTAAAAAGCCAAAAGTACAGAATATCGTGTTGCTTTCAAAAGTGTGTCATGGTCAAAGTCTCAAGCATAAAATTGCAAAATCTGTTTCAAACCATTACTCAAATATAGTAGATACCCTTTCTTCACCATTTTCATCATGTGTCCTTGGATTATAGACCTTGGCATATTTGCAGATGTTTCATTACTTTCCCCTCATTTTTATGTCTGCGTGTCCCAGGTGGTACCCGTCCTGTACAAGTTATCATCACCGAATCTGGAAACCAACCCAACTCTCACCCCATCCAGTGGAACGCCCCTGCCTCTGCCCACATCACTCAATATGTCCTCAAGTGGAGAGCTGTGAGTACCACCATTTAAACTCTTTCATATGAACACCAAAATAACTATAGGGACCAAGTCTGGAAAACAACCATGTCTTGAAACAAAAAAATTGAAAGAACTGAAGAAACAGAGTAGTTTCATTGTAATTAGCTCCTCCCTGCAGACAGATATAAGGAAGTACCCACCACCATTCTGACCAGAACTGAGGAAGCAACTTGGATGAGATGAGAAACATATTCAACCAAATAAACTTTGTTCACTTGACAAATTGAATTTCTCCTATGCCAAAAAATGGAAAGATTAAAATGCAGCACTTTCTAAATAAACTTGGATTTTAATATTATATTTATTATCTATTATTTATTATTTTATTTTTACATCATATGCACTCTAGTCATCTGTGTGTTCTAAATGCTTAAGTAAAGTTAGTTTAACTCATTATAACTGTATTAGGCAAAAAAAAAAAACAGAACATTTATGGTGTGTTAGTAATGAAAGCCTATTGCCAATTGTATTTCCAATGTGCCTATGTGTATGTAATTTCAAAGCACATATCAAAGTTGTGCTTATAATTGAAAATTATTCATCTTATGTATCTTCCTGTCTCAAATAGCCATTCATTGTGTTGAACATATGGGTGAACTAACCAGCAACCAGGACCAGGACCCAGTGACAAATATATGACAAGATACAAACTACTGACGCTACATAGTTGAGAATAATTAAAGACATGAAACAATTTTATAACTCTATATATGACAAGGAGCTTAAAATAGCATAAAAATGTACCAGTATTAAACCCTACATAATCAGTTTGCCTTTAATTTCCCGTCTGTAATATTTTTTTTATAGAAAAACAGCCCCAACCCATGGAGGGAGGTGATCATCCCGGGCCATCTGAACTCATACACCATCTCTGGTCTGAAGCCTGGAGTAACGTACGAGGGTCAGCTGATCAGCGTGCTTCGATTCGGACGGCGTGAGGTCACACGATTCGACTTCACCACCACCTACGGGTCATGTGAGTGTCTGATAATCATTATTTCATAGTGTAATTTATTTTAATGGCTGTCAGAAGAAGGTATGGGGGTACATGTGTTTAAATTATTTTTTTTTCAGTCAAATTTTTTTCATTTATGAATTCAATGTACTGGAATTCAGGATAGCAATCTTGAATTCTAGTTTCAAGTGGTTTTCTGATTTCAGTACAAAACTTCAAATTTCATGACATTATTTAGGGGTATAAAGGGTTAAGAAAATTGCACTTACCTCATTGGCCTCATTTTTGGATGTTTTAAAACTATAATTATGATCTAATGCATTTTAATTTGAACTGGCAACATTAAACAGCAAGTAAAACCAAATATGTTATAGCAGTTTTAAAGCAATTTGGAACTGTACTCCAATAGGATAAAATAGTGTTTGCTTTCTTATTTAACTGTTTTCAATGTAAAACTTTCCATTCTAAGTAGTTTGATTATTTGAACATCACTTGCAAGTTGATTTAATTGTTTCAACAACTACATAAAACAGCATGACCCATCTGTAGCAACTTCCTACCCAGTATATATTACATAGCCCTCCCCATGCGTTATATGAGCTATTCTCCCTCGAGTGTCCTGTTCTCAGAGACAGGAAGTATCTGTTCACTATATTTATTTTCCTTTTTGTATTTTTGCCCGTTTAGTGGCCACATCTCATGGAGAGACCTCCCCTCCTCCTCCAGTTGTGGATATTTTGGAGTCCGTCACTGAAATTACCTCCAGCAGTTTCGTCATCTCTTGGGTCTCTGCCTCTGACACAGTTTCTGGGTTCAGAGTGGAATATGAGCTCAATGAACAGGGACAAGGCACTGGGCAGCCAATCGTGTTAGGTAAGGCTGTTGTGACACATGCTTTCAATTAGTAGAATCCTAAGGCATATCATAGTGCCACGATGTGTTGCATAAGTACTATGAATATAAGAAAGAACATAGTGCATTTTATTGTCAGAAAAAAGTTAAAGGTATGTAACTTTTGTAGTGGGGTTTCTGCCACCTGCTTGTCTCCATGGGGATTTAATTGTTTTGCCTGGAATCTTCTGCAGTATGACATTAAACAGAATTTGCATTTAATCAAATACACATGTTTCACTGCTCAAAAAGGCCTTGGAAAAAAAGCCTTCCTGATTAGGGTCTCCTCTCCATGATCTCACTTGTCACTTGTCCTGTTGATGTGACTGTCACCTGCTTGTTTTCCTAGAGATAAATAAGTGTACTGTAACGCTATAACATTAAGCACTAACATCTCCATGGAGACAAACAGGTGATGGACCCTCCTCTAGATAAAAATACATAGTGCACCTTTAAAACACCTGCCCTGTTGTTTAGTGTTCTTTTAGTCTTGGTTTAGTTCTAACTTAGCTCTGTTGTCGTCTTGGTTTAGTCCAGATTTAGCCTTAGTTTCCTCTAGTCACTATTGGGTGTAGTCTTGCATTGGTCCCGTTTTATTTTTGTTGACTATAATAACAATTTTGGCTATATATAGTCAATTGTCTTATATTGTAATTTTGTCTTTCCGTATCAGAACTGCCACGTACAGCCACATCAGTGAACATCAATGAGCTTCTGCCTGGGAGGAAATACACTGTCAATGTCTATGAAGTCACTGACGGAGGAGAAGACAACCTCATCCTCACCACTTCACAAACTACAGGTTAATGGACACACTGTTGTTCATTTATATTTGTATTATGTAATCTTTTTGACATATTTTTGTACCTATAGGCTACTTCAGTCCGTAAATCGTAATTAAACACGATTAAACATCTTTGAAATCATATTTCTGTAGCTCCTGATGCTCCTGTTGACCATGAAGTTGACGAAGTTGGAGAGACCTCTATCGTCATCAGCTGGGATAAGCCTCTTGCTCCTATCACTGGTATGTTATCTCAATAATTGTGAATTAAAAATGAAAGAATAACTGTATTTATTGTATTAAAACTCTGCCACATCAGCTCTCATGTAGTTTAGTTCATATAGAAAAACATATTAAAACAATGACATTGGCTCATCTCCATAGGTTACCGGGTTGTGTACACCCCTTCAGTGGAGGGAGAGAGCACAGAGCTGACCCTCTCTGACACAGTGACCTCTGTCACCCTAAGTGACCTTCGACCCGGTCTGCTGTACAACATCAGTATCTACGCCGTGGAGGGCAGTCTGGAGAGCGAGCCTGTGTTTGTACAGGTCAACACGGCCGGAGAACCACAGCCAGGTAAAAAAAATCAATCAGAGAAAGGTGAAATTATTATTATTATTATTAAAATATGTTAATTTGTTAATTTCTACAAGCATACATAAAGTGTTTATTTATATATAATTGTTTAAGGAATGGTGACTTTTAATAGACACATCATTGAATTAAATTGAATTGTGACATTGTGAAATTGTAGTTATTTTTCTTTTTTCATATTTTTACTTAAAAAAAACCCTGTAGTGTAATGTAGTGCAATGATAAGATATTCAGTGTAAAATGTTAGGAATTTAAAAAATAATTTAGTATTTGGCTACAGCATAATAATATTTTATGAGTTAATGGGAGTCTTACTTACTTACTTACTTACTTACTGAAAATACTAAAATTTATGTACCATCAATTCTTCTTCAAAACTGGGTCACAAAAAAATTATTAGTGATGAAATTAAGTATTACAAACAGGGGAACTTGTACATCATTCTTGGCTTGGTTGAGATGTCTACAGTTTGGCTCTGAATAGGAGAAGATACTGGAGGATGGAAAAGTGAAGTCATTGAGTTCACAGCTGCTCCGTTGGACTTTATGTAAAACTTAAACAGTCTGCCAGGTCCATCTCGCTCCTGGGCCCAACACATGCTACAAATTTAGGTGCATTTGTTTGGACAGTGGGAGAGGGAACCAGGACTTCTGACCCAGTTTAGAGCAGATTGGAGCCATCTTTGGAGAGACAGGAGTTTGTTGTTGCTGCCACTGGCTAATGACCGTCTACAGACTTGATAATAAACAGAAACCAGGGCTGGTGATTGAAGATGTGGGATTCACTGTATTCTGGAGACAATACATTTGAACTAAAATGGGTTGCAAATGTTGTCAGTTTATGGAACAAAATTATAGTGATTATTCCAGACTGTCAAAGGATCTATCAAGTAGTTTTAGTAAAATTGTGCTGGTGTTAAATATGTTGTCATTGGAGTGATATTCCTTTGAAGTTTGTCATTTAATGAACCAGAATTCAAAGCAGGTTGTCTTGTGATTTTTAGTTTTGCAATGTTTATGCATAGAGTGCTAACTATGGGTAATGAACAATTAGATAAAACCACATTTTTAAGATACACCAATAAATGACATTTTTATTTGGTTCGGAAAAATCAATTCACCATTATCTGGTAAAAATAATAAGTATTTATTAAAGCTTTGAAAATTTGCATCCGTTATAAAATATTTCTATTAGCAGCAAAAATGTATTCAGCTTTTCCAGTACCTGTTAGTATCAAATCAGTCATTGTTTTTAGTAATTAACAAAGCAATTCTCATTCAGTACCATTGTTATTACAGTTTTTATTTAATGGAGATGTGGGGAATCAATATAGGAAGACTTTGATCATATAATTCTCTTATTTCTTTCAGATGAAGTAGAATCTCCTACTGACCTGCAGTTCTTCGAGGTGTCCGATAAGAAAATAGTTCTGACCTGGACAGGCCCAGCTGTGGATGTTTCTGGGTACAGGGTGACCGTTGTCCCTGTGGATGAGTCTGGGACCCCCCAAACAGAGATGACCCTCCCTGTGAGCCAAAACTCCTACATCGAAGTCACTCACCTTGAACCAGGAACGAACTATCGCTTCAACGTCTACTCTATCAACAATGGAGAGGAGAGTGTGCCCCTGGTTGGAGAGCAGCTGACCAGTAAGTACAAACGCTAAAGATCTAGGACCAGAGGAGGTAGAGTAGCCAAACCTGTAAAAGAAATGTATTTAGTAAAAAGTACTACTTTTAAGACCAATTTTAAGAGCAGCTGTCTGGAATGCATACATGAACTGAATAAACTAAATTAAGTCAAAGTATTGCTACACTGTACAAAAGTATGGCATCTGAAAGAAGAGGTACAATTTCATTAAAAGGTTTCTCAAGTAAATGTAACTGTGTACTACCCACCTATGCCTAAAATATGCTAAAATACTATTTAATCAAAATCTCTTCCATTTCTAACTGCATTTTTTTAATGTTTAGAGCCAGATGCCCCGACAGACATCCACTTCATGAACGTCACAGAGGACAGTGCTGTGATTCTGTGGTACGCACCTCGAGCCAAAGTCACCGGGTACCGCTTGTTCCTCACGGTCGAAGGTTCCACTCCCAAACAGCTCAAACTCCCAGCTCGCCTCACCCAGTACACCCTGCTCAACCTGAAGCCAGATACAGAGTACACGGCCACACTGCACTCAGAGATAGATAATACTCTGAGTGAGGGAGAGTCTGCTGTCTTTACCACCAGTGAGTGCTATTTACTCATATTTATTTATTTGCTGTGCATTATGCTTAAATCTAAGAAGTATGTAATTAATTTAGGTTATACTGAAAGAAACTTGACTGCAACCATACATTAACAAACTGAAATGCCTTATACTTTGCTGTATTGTAGGATATTATAAAATGAAAATAAAATGATTCATATGGACTTGAGTCTATATTGCCATGATGTCGAATATGAAAGTTAATGCATTTGTGCTGTGTGTTTGTAGCTCCTCCAATGGGTAACGCCCCTCAGTTCAACACAGATGTAACTGACACCTCCATCGTTGTCTCCTGGACTCCTATTCCACGCATCGGATACAAGGTACTACATTAGAACCCTGCAGTCCCGTGGGCCTCCTGCAGAACCCATGGGACCCGACACAAAACTACACTACTACTACACACTACTCGGGAGCGGGTGGGTGGGATGGTAAACTGCAGTCCTTCAAACTAAATATAGTGTAAAGTAAAATATACAAATGATGAATGTTTGTCTATCATGCATAATTTGTGATGGATATTTTATTTGGCATTAATACAAACATTTTAAGCAGCCTAAATTTGCGTAAGTGGTCTATTCTCGGCCACATTTTAGACAGTTCCTTTCCGCTTCTTTGTGTTTAATAGAGCTTATGAAAGCGAATGTCCCCATCTTGCAGGACTGGGCAAGTGGGAGCGGGACAAAATATCACTGAAAATTCTTAGGCATGACTTAGGCACTTAATAACACAGTAAATCTAACAGTAGTACATTTTGAGTAGAACAAGATCACCCATTAGGAGCTTGAAGGATCAAGCAAAGTATGAGTCAGGGTTAGTTTACACCTTAGGGTATAGCTCAATGGCCTTAACTAATAACAGATACTCCCCACTGTAAACAACAAGGGTGTATTAGCTCCTACATTCAGATATATATATACAAATATATGGCTAGAACTGAAGAAGCTGCTTGAAATGCTTGGAATATTGGTGAAATGTCTTCACTCCCAAAATTTCTGTCTAGTTTCATTTTCTTTTGTGATGGAACCTACTGGGATGACTGAGGGGTTACACAGACACTGGAAACATGTGTAAAATAATAGTTAACATGGAGAAGGCTGTAAGTATATTTGTATAAGTAAGAGTAACACGTTTTTAAAAAAAAAAGCCTAGTTACATTTGCCTAGCTTCATAGTTGAGAGGTTTAGTCAACAGTTTTAGCTTAGCTGTCTTGTTTGAGTAAAAGGCCCCTTCGCTGTAGAGTACCATGAAATCTTTAGTCCTCAGTTCTGATTGGATAGAATATGTCGCACTGACGATGGGAATGTTCTGGATTTCCTCATGTTCCTGGGAAAACTTTGACCTTTGATCTTTACCTTTTGCACCCTAAGCAATCTCATTCCTCTCTCATTCTATGGCTCTGCCTCTCTTCCCTCTACCTTTTCTCCTATTTCTCCCTTTTTCTTTTTCCTCCATCCCTCCCTTTCTACACCCTCTATCTCTCTTCTCCCTCCTTTCTCTCGTTTACTCCCCCATTGTGATCTCTAACCTTATCACGGGTCTCTCACCTCCCACTGTCTTCTCATTTCCCTTTCTCTCTTTCTCTCTGCTTATCTCTCACACCTGTTTTGTAAACTTCCCTGTCTTTCTCCATCTTTTTCTCTGTCCACTCCATGCCTCTTTCTCTCCCTACATCCATTCTTCTCTATTTCTTTTATTTCCCTCTTTCTTCTTCCCTTTCTACCACTTTTTATTTTTCTTAATTTCTTTCTCCCCCCTTCCTCCTTCCATCCCTCCATTACTTTCGCTTTATTTTCCTACCTCACGTTTTCCCGCTTCTCTCTCTCAGTATCTTTCCTTTCTCCTTCAACACCCTCCATACACATCCTTACACCTCCCTCTCTCTTTCCCTCTCTCCCTCTCTCCTGTCTAAATGTTTGTTGCACTTTCATACTTCAGTTGACGGTGCGCCCCAGTCAGGGAGGAGAGGCTCCACGGGACGTGACCTCTGACTCAGGAAGTATCTACATTTCCGGTCTGACCCCTGGAGTGGAGTACACCTACAGCGTTCAGCCAGTATTAAACGGACAGGAACAAGGCACCCCCATCACAAAAAGAGTGGTTACACGTAAGAACAAATAAGTTTATACTACTAAAATATTTTTAATGCACATATCATTATATTTTACCCAATACTGATACTGTTAGTGTTTTTATCTTCAGCTCTGTCTCCCCCCACTGATTTGAACCTGAAGTCTAATCCAGGGTCAGGAGAGGTCACTGTGCAATGGACCAGCACTGATGCACCAGGTATGGACTACATTTAACAAAACACTATCGCAACAAGATAGATTCATCTTTCATATCAAATATCAAATAGTGTGCACCTTTTGTTTGAAATTGTCTTCAGGTTTGTGGATAGATGCAGCAAATTTTTATTTTTATTTTCTAGGAAAGAATGAATTAAAGAAATTCCCATATCAGAACAACATGTACCTAATAGACCTTTTATACCTCACCGATTTGGTGAGGTATAAAAGGTCATTTCAAAACATTTCATCATTTCACTCAGTGACACTGAGCAAAATGGTTAAGAAAACTTGAACTAATATATGAAAGTATTTTTGCACAACCAAAGTGCACAGTAGAAAATGTTATTTATTAACTATTAATTTTACCGATTTTATTATTTTTAACTCTGCTCAAAGACATAACCGGCTACAGAGTGATGTGCACTCCCACAAACAGCCAGCAGGGAAACAGCATAGAGGAGTTTGTTAAGGCTGGGCAGACTTCATGCACTTTGGATAACCTCAGTCCAGGCATCGAGTACAACATCAGCGTGGTCACTGTGAAAGGCGATATGGAGAGCACCCCCATCTACACCACTGTTACGCCCGGTGAGTCACAGAACATGTCTATGGGATTGTAAACACTTTGACAGTAGGAACTGTAAAATAAAATGAAGTCAGTCTAGGAAAGTAGTGTTTTTTGAAGAGGTAAGCTATAAATTATTCCTTTGTGGGCATCAGTTTAGTTTGGAGTTATTATAAGAATTATGTTTGGTAAGTATAAAGGGTTATATAATTGTCAATTTGAATAACATACATTGAAGTCTAAACCACAGCTAACTAACTTTCAGTATTTATTTTAGTAACAACTTTCTTTGTTGTGTTAACATTTTATACACAACAAAAGTAGGATTATACATTTGTGATTTTCAAATGGTGGACCGAGTTTTAACCTTGGGAAATGGGCTAAATGCAACCATGTATTTAAGGTTGTAGTAACCAATAAATAAATAAATAAATAAATAAATAAATAAATAAATAAATAATGAAATTAAAAGTGAAATACAAAAATATGTTGATTAACCTTGAAACTGGAACCATTTGAGAATCAATGGGCTAGAGTGCTAAGCTAATGCTACCCTAGATATATATGTTTATAGTCATCAATGGTTGTAATCTATTGACTGACTAATTGATTTTATGTACTGGGGAAGGCATTCGTTCTTCCAATAGTGTGGCATATTGTTGCATGCTACTGGAAGTTTTAATGCTCATTCTAACTCTTGCGTCTCCTCCTCTTTCTCTACTTTTTCTGTATGTTTTGTCATTTTTACCCCTAACCAGAAATCCCACAGTTGACAGACCTGACTTTTGATGATGTTGGGGATACGACCATTAGCCTGCGCTGGTCCCCTCACAACACTACAGCTATCACTGGTTATAAAATTACAGTGGTAGCAGCTGGAGAGAGTGTGCCCATATTTGAGGATATGGTTCAGCCCAGTACTGGCTTTTACACGGTCTATGGACTGGAGCCTGGTATTGACTATGACATCAGTGTGATCACTATGACTGAGCACGGAGAGAGTGAGCCCACAACGCTGACTCAACATACATGTAAGTAACACTAGTTTACATTGTTTATATATTTAAATGATAATGCAAATATTATATTTTCTGAAAAATGGTGGGTTGAGTATTGACTAAATGCAATAAAACTAAATGCAATAAATAGATAAAATAAAAACTTAAGAAATTTAGGAGAGTATTTTATTCAGCAAAATAAATGCTAAGTGAGTATTTTGTAGTTTATAAACAATTCAACAGTTCAAGAAGATACATTATCTCACATTAAACATTATAAGACATGCTACTATGTACAGTTAGACAATGACTAAATTATGATGTCCACAATGTATGTATGTATATATATGTGTGTATATATATATATATATATATATATGATATTAGTGCATTTTCAACACTTAACATAACACATAAATATGTTGTAAATAATAGATAATAAAAATCATGTTGAAAACATTTATTACTACAATGAAGTTTTGAACTTTTAGAGTGAGGAAAAGGCTACATGGTGGAAACAAAGCGTAATCCTTCAAACCCCATTTTAAGTAAAGAAAGTATTATCCCTTAAGTACTTTTACAATTTGATTTCCTTAATAACTAGCTGTGTGAGAAAGCCCTTATAGGTTACATAATCAAATCTGCTCCATATTAACTCTGAGCTGATCTCTTAATCACTGCCCATTAAGCTTGTTGTTGTAATTGTCCGTCATGCTGCGTTGTCGGTTTAACCATTTAGTTCTGTGTGTCTCCACGTGTGCAACATCTGGTTTTAGTTCGAGCGTTTTATCATAGCAAGGCTCATTTTTCTCCCTGGTGTATTCTCTGCTTGTTCCCTACTTGTAAAGATGACAATAAAACTTAAAACATAAATCTTATCTGACAAATAATACATCCTCTTTCTTATGAGTTAGCTACATGAAGGTTCATCTGATACATTCAGAAACTAATTTACTATTTAGATTTAATTTTATTATATTAAATTGCAATTTTAATCAATGTTTTGATATTTTTTCTATAGCTGTACCAGCTCCGACTGATTTGACTTTTGGACAATCTGGACCAAATACAATTCACGTCTCATGGGTTGCTCCTCATGTGCCAAATAGTGCAGACATCAATAGCTACTTGATCAGGTATGGTCGGGTTTATAATATATATTTTTCAATTGTATTATGGTATTTTTTTTTTTTATTTGAATTTAATTTTGTTAGCTTACTTGGTTAGTTTAGATAATATCATAATTTTCTTTCATTTTATTTTCTAACTATTTTAGATAACTATGCTCAATAAATATACCTTTAATTCTTTGTTTCAAGGTATCACCCCATTGACGATGAAGATGACAACACAGAGACCAGTGTTGGGGGTGATGAGAATAGTGTAGTGCTGAAGCGTAAGTACTAGTCTTAAAAAAACACTGTCTACTTGATTTGGCTTCTCTGAATGAGGAGTATATAATGTTATTTTATGTGTTTGTGGTTTTCTACAGATTTGCTGCCAAACACAGAGTATCTGGTCAGTGTGGTGTGTGTCTATGAGCAAAGAGAGAGCTCACCTGTTGTCGGCACCATGAAAACAGGTAAGGCTTGAATTCTACATTAATTATAATAAATCAGCTAATCCATTTTGCAATTGTAAACTCTATTTAAATTGATATAAATACGAAATATGTTACAGTTTTAATTATAATTGTGAAAGCATAACATCTTGGCGTTTTTATTTTATGGTACCACTTGTATACTTAAGGAATGTTTACTTGTTTTTATGTTTCATCGGTTGCCAATTTACCATGAGAAAGTAGATATATTATTTATAGAAGTAGAAACTAAAGTAAATATGTTTTAGCAGTCTGAATATCAAATGCAAATGTTTTACTTTGCTTGAATTACATGTTACTTCTCTCTTCAGCCTTGGACTCCCCTGCGGGTCTGCGTTTCTCTGAGATCTACACCACCTCCTTCACCATCCATTGGCTGCCCCCTCAGAGCAGGATCACAGGCTACAGAATCCGCTACCAAATGTCCACCGGAGGGCGCACAAAGGAGGAGAGATTGCCCCCATCTCGAAACCACTTTACCATCACTGGACTGGCCCCAGACACTGAATACATCGTCAACATCACTGCAGTCAATGGAATACGGGAGAGCATTCCTATTAGTGGAAAGCAAAAGACAAGTAAGCACTTGTAAATAATTTGTTGTCTTGTACCCCATTTTACATTTTAATTCTACAACAGGCGCATCATCTGAATAGATTGTAATAGAAAATAATGACTAAACTCAGTATTTTGACTAGAAATAAATGCAGATATGTTAAATAACCTCTGTGAAACAAGATAAAATATGGCAAATATATCAATCTCCTCTCTTTCTCTGCAGTTTCTGATGCTCCCACAGACCTGACAGTTTTGGATTCCACTCCTACAAGCATTACTGTGCGCTGGGACGCCCCTCCTGTCACTGTGCGGTACTACAGGATCACACATGGAGAGACTGGTAAGGGTTTTCTGACAAAACGTCAAAATAACTGTAACGAGGAATAAAATGCACCCAGCACTCAATTGACTAAACCATTATCAGACATGGCCCAACTCAGTACATAGAGAGCAAACTTGTTTACATTGTATTTTGTTTTGCAGGTGGCCACAGTAACCCCAAAGAGTTCACTGTTTCTGGTTCTCAGTCCACGGCCACCATCAGTAATCTGAACCCAGGTACTGACTACACCATCACTGTGTACGCTGTGACAGGAAGAGGAGACAGCCCCGCCTCCTCCACTCCCATCTATGTCACGCACAAAACAGGTACACGCAATAATAATAACCTCCGCTTGACATGAAGAAACTTGTGTGTGCCTAAATATGTACTTACTCTACTGAGACTGGTTCTCCCTTTTTTATTTGTAATGTTTTATTGAATTATACTTGCTAAATTGTAAACCAGTAGTGACTATTCTTTTTGTACGTTTGCTATGGAAATTATTAGACAATTCTTTACTTCTATTTGAGTATTACAAGTAGTACAATTTGATATTAATAGTTGTATGATACTGTATTTTGTAGGTGTTGACTCTCCCTCAGACATGGAAGTGAAGGAAGTGAATGACAACAGTGTAACAGTCAGGTGGAGTCCAGCCCAGGGGCCCATCAAGGGATACAGAGTTACAGGGGTTCCACGAAACGGACAAGGCCCCAGCTTTACTGAAGTGGTTGCTCCAGGTCGGTTGTCACAATACTAAAATTTCAAACATGATTTCAATACTAAGGAATAAACTCGATAAAAATAAATAAAATAAAATAAAATAAATAAACAACATCAAATAACAGTACTTCCATCATGTGGTCCTATATCTATGTGATCCCCCATTTAGTATTGATTAGTATCTGATTTTCACTACTTTTGACTACTTTTGGAAAACTGAAACAACAGCTTTATTTAGTTTTTTTGTAATTTAAGTCTGTTCTTCTATTTTTATGTGTGATGGTAATTGTAAAAGAAAATAATGTCTGACCTGAACAATTTATTAAATTGAAATACACATCTCAATTTTCTTGTGTTGTCTTTTTTTGTAGACCAAACAGAGATTACCTTCCATGGCCTGATGCCTTCTTCAGAGTATGTTGTGAGTGTGTCTGCCCTGGGACAAGATGGTGAAAGCTCCCCTGTGGTGGTGAATGCTTTAACTGGTGAGTTTAATTAAACTGTATTATATTATTTACAAAAATGTTCAAAGTAGTTGGATTGGGATTGGAATTAAAGTTTAGTCACTGGCCCTGTTTATAGTATCCTATTTATTTGACGCCTAAATAACACATATAAGCAAATAAAACTACCAAATAATTATAGAGTGAAGATTTTACATTTGTTATTTAGTAATCTGGACAATGTTTTTGAAATTAAGACGTTTTGGTTGCTATCTGAAAGCGTCATTTAGTGACTGTCCCTTTCTATTATATTTTTTTGTATTTTTAGAGCTTGATCGTCCCAAAGATTTGAGCTTCTCCGATGTGGACTCCACCTCCCTGCGCATCTCTTGGGACAGTCCGGAGGGCATTGTCACCTCCTATAGAATCCTTTACGCCAGTTCAGAGGAAGGGGAGAGAGAGCTGTACCCCGCCCCCAGAGGAGATGCTGAGTCTGCTGTCATCTATGGACTTCAGCCCGGCACTGAGTACACAGTCAAAGTCATCGCGTTGCATGATGATACAGAGAGCACACCTGTGATTGGAGTGCAGGCTACACGTATGTGAAATTTAAATGGTCCAACTTATGTTATAGTTTAGTGTAAACAACTTTGGTCCTGTTTTAGTCTGAGTATACTTTTCACCTGATCATAGGACTGGTTTATTCAAAGTTCTGTCCTGATTTAGTCCTTGGTTTATTCATGGTTTAGTCCTAATTTTCTTCCTGGTTTTTATTTTAGTCTTTACATTACTTACTGTTTCAAATTGGTTTTAGACATTTTGGTTACAGTTATTTTTGTAATGTATTAAAACAAACTGAGCTGTTTTAACCCTGGTTTAGATTAGATTTAATACTGGTAAAATCAGTTAATCCTACTCTAGTTGGTTCTATGTTTAGTCCCATTATAGCTAGGTATTAATTTTAGACCCCAGTTTAAACCTGTCGTAGTCCAGCTCAAATCATTAATACAAAAAAAATAAAAATGTATAATTTCTTTACTCCTATACAGCCATCTCTCCTCCCACCAACCTCCAGTTCTCCCAAGTGGGACCCACCTCTTTCACCATTAGCTGGTCTGGGACAGGACAGGAGAACAGGCTCGGGGGAGTGACCAGACTGACCGGGTACCGTGTGGTGGTCAACCCGAAAAACAAGAACGGACCCACCAAAGAGCTGAATCTAGCCCCCGATACTACACAGGCTCACATCTCTGGACTCATGGTAAGGAAGAAAACACTATACTATACTATACCTTAAAGAATGAGCAAATCTAATCTGTGGTTCATTTATTATATTAATGATACTAATTTGTGTCATTATTTTTGTCATTATTATAGATCGCAACTACATATGATGTCCATGTTTACGCTCTGAAAGACTCCCTGACCAGCCGAGCAGTCCAAGGAGAGGTCACCACTGTGGAGAGTGAGTTTTTACAATCATTTGGTTCCAAAGATTCTAAATATTCTTAATCAACATCTTGCATATTCATTGGTACTTGATTAACAAAGCATGCATACAGATACTTTGGTTCTAACTGTGTTCGAAATAGCATAACACTAAGCTCAAGTAGCACATGAGAACATAAAACTTACAATACTAATTGTACTATTGCAAAATACTCAGATCTAAAATAATGTATGAAATAATCCAGTTAACATTATTTTTTAATTTATAAATTGACTGAACATTTTTAAATGTGTACAGTCTTTTGCATTGTTACTTTTCAGCATTAAACTTTTAAGCTGAACTACTTTTTTAAAATTCTAGATACACTATAGACCTTGATGTAGTGCTCTTATAACAATGCATTATAGCAAAAATAAACATATAGCATTTACTTGTCTTGTGTTAACCCTAATATAGTATCTATTTTTAACTTGCTTTATTTCTCCAGACATCAGCCCTCCCCGTCGTCTGCGTATCTCTGATGTTAACGACTCTGCCATCACCCTGACCTGGCGCTCCAAAACAGAAACCATCTCCGGATTCTTCATCGAGGTCACTCCAATCTCCACTTCTTCGTTTTCTCCCATCCAGAAGACCATCGGAGCGGACTCACGGTCATACAGCATCACTGGTATGGCTACACAGATCAGCTATTTAGCATAAGTCTTACTTTTTCCTTAAAACTAAATTCCAGACAAATAATTTACATTTGTTTCATTTGCTGAATATCCTGCTTGTGTAATTATTATTTAGTCTCTTTAAGGAATTGGAGAATATGGAGTTAAAATTGTTAATTTAACTATTTGAATTCCCTCACTTTCAGGTCTTGAGCCTGGGACGGCTTACAAGATCAACATCTACACACTAAAAGGAAATGGACGCAGTGCTCCTCTAACACTGACAGCCACCACAGGTAAGAATGCACTTTTTATGTATCCTATTACTTATACTGTGATTCCTAACTCTTTAATGGGGACCCAATAGTGGACAGTGGTTGAAATGTTGAAAAATAATCATCATCATCTTATCAAATTAGTTGAACATTTGATTACATGGATTCTTTTAGATATATCACAAAATACACAGTCCAACACATTTCACAGAAAAATTGGAAAGCAAACTGTCTTTCTAAGGAATGGGATCCACATACTTGACTTTTTATGTTTTGAAGATACATATATTTTCTATACACTATGAGAAATATTATATTTTAGTTACATAAATAATTATGGAGTATAATAAACTGACACAATACAAAATAGTATTTAGTGTTTAGTGTTTTTTTTATTGCAATACTGTCTTTTCTCGTGCAGCTAAACCAGTTGTGATCCCACCCACGGACATTCGCTTCATCTCCTTGAACCCCACCAGTATCTCCTTCACCTGGGAGCCGTCCCGGAGTCCAGGGGTCACCGGGTACTATGTGACCTACGAGGAGGTCGGAGGACTGCCCCGAGAACTCACCCCCCGCCCACATGAGGGGCAGAGCTATGCCACTATCAATGGTGAGTTTGCATTATGAAACTAATAGCAACTGACAAAGCAAATAACTGGGTGATCATAGTGAAATGCAGTTTATTGTGAGTGGGTACATCTACATGACCAGTAAAGATAAACAGATTTTTGGTGTGTTTACATGCACAAAAGAAATCAAATTATCAAAAACACCTGGAGACATTTCAACAATCTGATTACTCTAGAAATCAGATAATGAACAGTTTTTGGTATAGTCCGATTAAATGAATAAAATGCAGTTTAGCTTCTCACTGTAGCATCAATAGAAATATAAAATTATTACAAATCAGTCATTTTCATTAATTTGTACATTTTGTAATCTTTCGCCATAGGGCTGAAACCTGGTACTTCCTACGTCATCAAGATTGTTGCTCTGCAGAATTCTTTGAGAAGTTCACCTCTTGAGGGCAAAGCCAAAACCCGTAAGTACATTATCCCTGTCAAAAGTTTTGCAAATTTTATTTTATTTCTCTTCTTTTTTTTTTCTTTTCTTTTACATCTTCTTGAAATCAAATCTCTTTAAAACTGATCATGTGATTGTTTGTCATCCAATCAGAGCCTGCCCCAGATCAGGTGCTTGTTCCTGAACTACCTCAACTTCCTGTTCCTCACCGACCCACCAGTGACATCCTGGACGTCCCAGAGACCTTCAACGAAAAACTGTAAGAGTTAGGAAAATAAAATGCATTATAAATTGTTGTAAAAATGATAACTAAAGGTAGGATTTAGTTTAGGGACTACATTATATTGACTAACTAGTATAATTATGCATAGTAAGTGCATTACATCTTTTTAAAATATTTGTGATGTTTTGTTTTGTCTATGGATATATTTTACAAGACTAAAGTGTAGTCAACATTTATTCTTATTCTTGCAGAAGTTTTGACTCCAACCATGTGCATTTGGCCGGCACCAGTGGACAAAGTCAGCCAGGCCAGCAGGGGCAGCACATTTACACAGAGTATCAGAGTCTTGGACCAAACACTGGAATTAATGGACTTTTTAATGGGCCCAAAGAGGGACAGAGACCAACATTCAGAGAGCCACTCGTCTATATCCCCATGCCTGGGCCTGATGGCAACAGAGTACCACTGGTCAAGGTAAGTTAGCCTTTATAATATGGGCTTGATAGGTTTATAACTGCAACTGTGAAGTTACTGAATTCATATATTTAAGGTGCAAATAGTGTTACGGTAGTTTCCCTTAAATACCTTAAAACTTATGAGAGTATCAGTTAGTACTAGCTGTTAATAGTGTTTTATAGTTTTTAATCAGTATATTAACTTTTTTAATGTATTTTATTTTAGTAGTAAGGGGTTTGTCAAGATTTCCTGTCACAAAATCTCATGTGGAGAAAATGTTATTATTCAATCTATTTATTATAATTTATTGTCCCCTATTATAATGTACTGTCCCCTAGAAGCAATAGCACAGTAGATGGGGTTACTATAATGACTTTCTATTCTATATTATGAATTGACTTTGTTTGAAGTTGCTCAAGTCAGATCTTCATCACTCAGTTTATATAGTATGGTAGTAAAATATCAGTAACATTTGGTTTGACATTATTTTAAATGAATGTTCATTGTTTTTCATTAGGTGAGCGACGGCCCACTGCCCGGCCTTGCGTTTGGATTCCCTGATAATGAAACCGAAATTCCCCAAGAAGCTCAGACCATCACCACCCTGTCCTGGCAGCCCATCCCCCACACCACCGAATATGAGGTGTCCTGTAACCCCCTCACTCACCTGGAGGAGAGGGGCTTCCAGGTAAAACATGTGCTAGTGCATAATAATTAAAAGTATGTAACAATATTCCAATTTCAAGATTCAGTAATATCTCAGTTTGAATGGGCGCTATCACCAAATCACAAAGGTTGCAGTTTTTTGAGTATCATAATTTCCTTTAATAAATTCTGTCTTATTTTGCAAAAAAAACCTGCTAACCATAGTTTAGATCTGTTCAAACAATGTGCTGAAATACTTGTGATCCTTTTATAGTTTATTAGTTTGTTAATTTGTAGGCCTTTTTCAGTCTTTTTGTCAATAACGTGTTTATGTGTCTAAACTGTGAACTGTGAAATCACCATAGCGGTGCTTGTCACAATTTGATATTACAACCTAAATCGTGCTGCCTTTCTCATGCCATATTTTTTCTTCCAGATGCGACTTCCTGGTACCTCAAACAGTGCTACTCTGATTGGTCTGACCTCTGGAGCGTCCTATAATGTTGTGGTGGAAGCCATGAAGGGCGGAGCTAAAGAGAAGGTCCTGGAGGAAGTAGTAACCGTTGGCAATGCAGGTACTACTTTAATGTTAATGCTCTTGTACTTTTCTAAACATATCTGAAATTTTCAATGTGACCAAACAGTAAATAAATGACTAATGATACCTTGTTAAAAAAAGAGTGATTTGGAAATATTTGAAAAGTGTTTACATCTAACAAATATTACCTGCTTAATCTCATATAGGTCCATATGAGTTTTTAAATGTGTAGGTTCAATTCCTCATTTAGTTACTTGAGTACAGTAGCAACTTGGGCAATGGGAAGGTGAGGCTAAATAAAAAATTGAACTTGTCTGCAGTTGTTGTTTGAAAAAAAAAAATCTCAAAATATAAAACTAATCTCCAAATCAATTAATAAAATAAATCTGAAAAGGAACACAGCAGAAACAGCGTCCCTACTGATGCTTGATTTGTTTCTGATTATATGCAGGATTTGTACCATTTCTAATAGGTTAATAGAGGGCATATGAAAATGCAACAGAGATTATTGCATTGCTTAACTCATATTTCTTCTTATTCCCTCAGTTCCTGGAGATCTCCCCCTGACCACCACCCCTCAGGACGTGTGCTATGACACCTTCACCCACACCTATCACGAGGTGGGGTCCGAGTGGGAGCGCATGTCCGAAACAGGCTTCAAACTGTGGTGTCGCTGCATTGGCCTGGGCAGTGGGCACTTCAGATGTGACTCCTCAAGTGAGTATTACCCCTTACCCAGCATGCTTTGCAAAGAACATAGAATTAGATACACTGTAATTCTATGGGGTTTTAACATTATGGAATTTATAGAAGCAAAGTTTTATGATAATATAATTTGGAAATACCTTATACTGTAGTGTTTTAATGTTTGAATTTATATCTAAACTAATCTCGGCAGCACATTGAAGTAATAAAAATATATAAATTTTAGCTTATTATTGGGATGTTTAAATATATAAATGGATACTGTAAATTCCTGAATCAATTTTAATGCCTTAATATACAAATTAGCATGGACAGTCATTGTAACTGAGTTTGATCAAAAGCAAATTAAACTCAGCTGCCCATGTTAATGTTTATTGCGTAACAAAGCTTTTCACTAATTTACCCAAAAGTTTGATTGGTGTACATATATTATTGTCCACTGTTTGTTGTGGTTGTATATCAGTACTGTAAATAAAATTGTATGTCCTTGGATATACTGTACATGAACAATGACCATTTCTCTTTCTCTTGTCCCCTGTGATCTCCCTGGTGTATTTTATGTGTTTCTGTGTCTGTCATGTCTGTCTTTTGCATCTATCCCTTTCTTTCTATCTATCTGTCTTTCACTTCCTCAGAGTGGTGTCATGACAATGGAAATAACTACCGTATTGGAGAGAAATGGGATCGTCGTGCAGAGAATGGACACATGATGAGCTGCACTTGTCTAGGCAATGGAAAAGGAGAATTCAAATGTGAACCACGTATGTACAGAACATTTTTAATACTTACTGCTAATTACTGGTACTCGTGTCAAAACTGCAATGCAATGATTCCAACTACATTCCTCATAAACTAAAAATGCAAGAGTCTATAAAACTTTGAAGGAAAGCAGCCTTCACTTCAGCACACTGACACTTGTTTTAGCAGATGTATTTTGAATAATTTAAAAATGTAAAAATACCTGACAATGGTAAATTATCTGACTTGTTACTTGGATGAGGATGAACAGTTTAGCTAGTGGGGGATTATTTGTGTGCATTGTCCTCTGGTGATGTTGTCCCTTGTCTAAAATAGAAAAGTTATTTTCAAAGTAATTTTTTTTATCATTAATCTTTGCATTTGTATGATTTTCCAGATGAGTCAACGTGTTACGATGATGGAAAGATGTACCAAGTTGGAAACCAGTGGCAGAAGGAGTATCTTGGTGCCATCTGCACATGCACATGCTATGGAGGACAGCAGGTATGACCCATTCACATTATTCTATCTTAGAATAAGTTGAAGCTATATTAAGTCATACCACACATCTTGAATCTCTTAGATATCTGAGCAGAGTTTTTTGTCTAAATGCAGACTTATGTACTAAATATACTGAATAATTGTTCATTTGCAGGGATGGCGCTGTGAGAACTGCAGGAGACCAGGTGTCAACACAGAAGTAGAGGCTGATTTGCTTCAGCCTGTTCACACAGATGTCTTTGACCGGTACAGAGAAAACGCTCTACGAAAACTGGTGAGTGCATTAATATCCATATTTAAGTTGGAATGTTACACAATAAGGCATATAACTTCAGCATTAATATAAACAGGTGTTTTATAGCTCAAAATATCTTGAAAAACATGATTTCTTACTGTGTGCGGGCTCACCTCTCCACAGATCTGACCTGTAACTTGACCTAGTGGCTCTACCTGCTTGTCTTCATTTAGATAAATATGTTTAATGCAATAGTGTAGAACATTCCTGAGATAGCAATAACATCTCCGTGGTGACAAGCGTGACCTTCCACCAGAAAAGTTACGTAGGGCACCTTTTAAAATGATTTCAAATGCCCATTATCAGTGCTGTGATTTAATCCTAAACATGAAACATAAACGGCACAACATTATTACATCATTTTCATTATCTAATGTTTGCCATACGGACTACTTACTAGAATCTAATATTCTGTTCTTTAATGATATATATTGATGCCTAACACAATATACAGTTGTCTTTGAAATTATTATTTATAAGTAAATAATTAAATACATTTATATGTATGTCATTATTAACATATACTTACCTTGTTTATGCAGAACATCCACTGTCCGATTGAATGTTTGAGACCAGAGCTTCTCGCAGACGCACAGAGCCCATCCAAAAAGTGACGAAGCAATGACGAAGACTAACAACACCCAACACTGTCCAAACCACTTCACGAAGGAAAACTCATGGTGCTTTTATTCAAATAGGAGCTTACTTTTGCCTTATAAAGGTTTTCCCCTTTTCACATAATGTAGTGCCTTATCACCAACCTGTGCCTTCTGAAATGCATTTTCTGGCCTTGTGCCTTGGCCAAGATGTTGTAAAATTAAAACATGATTTTCTAAGAGCACAAACTTGCTGCTTTCTACAGACTGCATTTGTTTCATGACACACCACTATGTAAATTAATAAACCTTTGCATAATATTTCCCTCTATTTAGCCTATAGAATATTTTTGTGATACATTTTGTTTGATTGGCAATAGATTTTGAAATATTTTTATGTGATTTTTTTCCCCCCTCCAATTTCTTAACATAGGCTTTATCTGTATGTTGTCAGTTGTATTTTTTATAGAAAGTAAGCACTGATGCCTTGGAATTAGTGTTAAATATTACAGACTAGTATTACAGTGCCTCACCATTTCAGTATATTTGTTTTTCTGCCATCTGCTGGTTTAAAAAAATATTGTCTGTAAAATCAATGAGACCAAAGATGACCAAAGACAGACTGGTATAAATATTTTCATTGTTTTGGAAATGCGTTACATGAGTTTTAAAAGAAATGTATGTTTTCTTTTATTCTTTGTTTTATTTATCCCGCTTATCCAGCATTTGTTTAATGCTAATTTGGGGTGTACACTTTATTTTTTAAACTTGTTTTGTATTGTTGGTGCCAAACTCTGAACTACTGTGGATTGAAACTTTTTAATAAACAGAACAAAATCCAAATGCAGTTGTTGTTGCTTACCAAGCATCATATTGATAATAGGCCTAATTAATTGGTAAAATAGCTCTGAGGCAGTTGATTCTAATTTTGCAGAATATAAATTAGAAGAGTTAATTGTTTTTAGTGTTCATTCATGTATTCTTTTCTAATTTTCTGACTCAACTAACTAGTAAGGTGCTGCTTATATCCAATTAAATGCAATAGGCTTCATGAACCACACGAGGGCGCAATCTTGCATCCAATTAAATGCAATAGGCTACATGAACCACATGAAGGTGTAGTCACAATCAATGGAATGTAATGGAATAGCAGTAGCTTTAATAAAATAACAACAACAACAACAACAAAAAAAACGTGATCTTTGACATTTAGCTAACTGTGTCCAGATTCTTACAAACTAGTTTTTATTTATTTATTTATTTATTTAATGAGACAGGGACAGCGCACAATTTTCACATTAACCTTAACACGAGAGAAATGCATTTAGTCCGGTTCCTTATTGCCATTTTTTGACCTTAGTGGGAAGTTTTTGGGGATTTGCTAACCTATATATTTTTGGAAAGGTTATAGTATATGGAGTCAGAAAATCAATGTTTGCATTTGCCCACATGTCTTTATGGCGGCCATATTGGATTTTTAAAAAATGGCCGCCAAAAAACCCTTTTTGGAATATCTCAGCCTCTGAATAAGTTGAAATGTTGATTTTAACTGCTAAACCCACATTTTCAGGGTCAGGGAATCAAATGGTGCTAGTTACAAACCTGTAAGACCTACCCACATTAACCCTTAGATGAATAAGTGGGTCAAAAATGACCCGGTTTGGTTGTTTTCTTGCATTTTCACTGTAATATTCACATGTAATACCCCATGTTCCTCCAAAAACATGTTTTTCTTTTTTTTTTCTTTTTTTATTATCCTGCTGAAATACATCAATATGGGTAAAACAAATTGTAAACATCACATGCAGCTGGTCAGATAACTCAAAGAGTTTAAAAGTAGCTAACATAAAATTTGGATATTGGATGTAAACACACACATTTAGACACAATATCATTACACAACTTTTTTATGAGACATTTTCTATACATCATCATTATCATCATCACTTTCATACAACCATAGACTATATATATATATATATATATATATATATATATATATATATATATATATATATATATATATATGTGGACAGATCTAACACTGTAGCCACCATGTGCCAAATAGGAAGTTCTCCAGGAGGCTCTTCCGGCTCCTTCTGACTCTGGCTCCAATGGACTTACATTAGGATCTTGTGGCTCCTCTCTCTGTACCTGCTGATGTGAGCCTCGACATTTTGGTCTTAAAATGTTTGTATGAACCCGCTCTACATGATCCTGATTACCTCCGCCAAGTAGGTTATGTTTTTGCCGACGTTTGTCTGTTTGTTTGTTTGTCTGTTAGCAACATAACTCAAAAAGTTATGGACCGATTTTGATGAAATTTTCAGGATTTGTTGGAAATATGAAAAGGAAGAACTGATTTCATTTTGGGGGTGATCCGGAAGAAATCCTGGATTCTGGATCACTTTGAAATTTTAGTTAACATTGTGGTAAATGGGGCCAAAAATTTTGTTTCTCAATATCTCGGTTAATTATTGACCAAACCCCATGAAATTTGACTCAGGGATGGACAATGGGATCCTCTTTCATATTCCAAAGGCTGATCCGGATCTGATCCAGAAGACTGATTTTATCGCAATTTCTATAAAAAATGGGGGTAGTCCTTGGCGGAGGTCTGCGCTCTCTGAGTGCTTTTTTTTTTTTTTTTTTTTTTTTTGCTATTTTGTCCATCAAAAAAATCCTATTCATAATATAAAGCCCGTGGCTGGATGAGATCCATCCTGAGTACCTTAAGTCTCTGGATGTTGTGGGTCTTGGCTGACACGCCTCTTCAACATTGTGTGGTGGTCGGGGACAATACCTCTGGACTGGCAGACCGGGGTGTTGGTCCCTCTGTATAAGAAGGGGGACCGGAGGGTGTGTTCCAACTACAGGGGAGTCACACTTCTCAGCCTCCCCAGTCTGTGCCAGGGACTGGAGAGGAGAATCCAACCGTGGTTTTCGTCCCAGTCGTGGAACACTGGACCAGCTCTATACTCTCCATCAGGCACTCGAGGGTTCATGGGCGTTTGCCCAACCAGTCCACATGTGCTTTGTGGATCTGGAGAAGGCATTCGACCGTGTCCCTCATGGTGTCCTGTGGGGGGTGCTCTGGGAGTATGGGGTCCGGGGCCCTTTGCTAAGGGCTGTCCGGTCCCTGTACGACCGGAGCAGGAGCTGTGTTCATTGCCGGCAGTAAGTCAAACCTATTCCCGGTGCTTGTTGGACTCCACCAGGGCCGCAACTGTCACCGGTTCTGTTCATTGTATTTATGAACAGAATTTCTCGGTGCAGTCAGGGGCCGAACAGTCTAGTTTGGGGACCACAGGATCATCTCTGCTGTTCACAGATGATGTTGTCCTGTTGTCTTCATCAAACCAGGACCTGCAGCACTGGGGCAGTTTGACCTGTGTGTGAAGCGGCTGGTATGAAGATCAGCTCCTCCAAATCCGAGGCCATGGTTCTCGACCGGAAAAAGGCGTCTTGCCCTCTCCGAGTGGGTGGAGAGTCCCTGCCTCAAGTGGAGGAGTTCAAGTATCTCGGGGTCTTGTTCATGAGTGAGGGGAGGACGGAACGTGAGATTGACAGGCGGTTCCTTTTTCCTGATATTACCATCGCTTGGTATTGTGATGTCCACCACCACGGCTCTGCTCTGTTTCTTATCCACCACTACTATGTCTGGTTGATCCATCACCATCCTGTCAGTCTGTATCTGGAAGTCCCACAGGATCTTGGCTCGGTCGTTCTCCACAACCTTTGGAGGTGTTTCCCACCTTGATCCTGGGGTCTCCAGCCCGTACTCTGCACAGATGTTTCTGTACACTATGCCCACCACTTGGTTATGTCGCTCCATGTATGCTTTCCCTGCAGCATTTTACACCCTGCAGTTCTGTGCTGGACTGTCTCAGGAGCCTCTTTGCACAGTCTACACCGTGGCTCTTGTTTGGTGTGGTAGATCTGGGCCTCTATTACTCAAGTGCCCAGGGCCTGCTCCTGACCTCCAGAATGAGCCTCTGTGTGTCCTTCAGACCCTCTCAAGCCATTGGGATGGAACCCTCCATGCATGGTCAGGAGCTTTCGTGTCTTAACATCTGTAGTCTGTATCTCCTTCTTTGGCCAGCTTATGATTCCTGCAGGGTATCTCATCACTGGCAGGGCAGAGCTGTTGATTGCCTGCACCTTGTTCTTGCCATTGAGCTGGCTTCTTAGGACTTGCCTCACTCTTTGCAGGTATTTGGCCGTAGCCACATTCCGTATATATATATATATATATATATATATATATATATATATATATATATATATATATATATATATATATATATATATATATATATACATATATATATATACACACACACATACCACAACATCTTGTGAATACCCTGTGATAGCAAATATAAGCGACACCCCTATTTGGATGACGGAAGAACTGGAGCTCAGAGCCCACGGCCAGACCAGAGCTCGGAGCCCGGACAGCCGTGGATCTATCCATCTTGTTGAACAGTAGCTAATGTTTATTAAGCAAATATATGCAATAAGTGCATGCGCAATTTGCTTCATTTAGTTTTCTTTAAATAAATGATGTCATGATAGCAGCAGTTGGTCCTAATGAAGGCTCAGGGTCCAGGTCCACGGTTCACCACTGCCAAGTACAAAGGCGACTGCAGAACTGCACACCAGAAACTAAAGGTTTATCCTGTACCGACATGTGTCAGTGCAGCAGCCAGTGCCAGAATGATGATGATTCCGAAGCCATGTTGTTGCATAGACTGTATAAAAGAAGTGGACTAAGTGAGTGTGACCCACAGAGTTCAGTACCACTCAAATGAGGCTTGTGATGTTCACGGTTACAGGAGCCAATCTGGAGCCAGACTCTATATTATGAATAGGATCATGTGTCGTGGGTTAACACAAACATTTTAAGACCAAAATGTTTGAGGCTCACTGCAGCAGGTATAGAGAGAGGAGCCACAAGATCCTAATGTAAGTCCATTGGAGCCAGAGTCAGAAGGAGCCGGAAGAGCCTCCTGGAGAACTTCCTATTTGGCACATGGTGGCTACAGTGTTAGATCTGTCCACTCATATATACAGTCTATGGTTGTATGAAAGTGATGATGATAATGATGATGTATAGAAAATGTCTCATAAAAAAGTTGTGTAATGATATTGTGTCTAAATGTGTGTTTACATCTAATATCCAAATTTTATGTTAGCTACTTTTAAACTCTTTGAGTTATCTGACCAGCTGCATGTGATGTTTATAATTTGTTTTACCCATATTGTTGATGTATTTCAGCAGGATCATTATAAAAAAAAAAACATACACAAAGGAACATGGGGTATTACATGTGAATATTACAGTGAAATTGCAAGAAAACAACCAAACTGGGTCATTTTTGACCCACTTATTCATCTAAGGGTTAATTTGGGTAGGTCTTACAGGTTTGTAACTAGCACCATTTGATTCCCTGACCCTGAAAATGTGGGTTTAGCAGTTAAAATCAACATTTCAACTTATTCAGAGGCTGAGATATTCCAAAAAGGGTTTTTTGGCGGCCATTTTTTTTAAATCCAATATGGCCGCCATAAAGACATGTTGGCAAGTGCAAACATTGATTTTCTGACTCCATATACTATAACCTTTCCAAAAATATATAGGTTAGCAAATCCCCAAAAAATTCCCACAAAAGTATATAAGGAACCGGACTAATTGTACCAGGTTGTAGCACTAATTTCCACCTGTAGTTCCTGGGTAGGTTCATTGATTGATTGTATTTAACTGACCTTGGCTATTAACTGTTCTTCCTGGAGACCTATGTAGCATGTTTTGGGTTGTAGTTTATGTGTTTATTTGTCAATTCCAACCATTTAAATACATTTATTTTGAAATCACACCACCTTTGATTCGAGTGGTTTTATTGCGAAGGTCTTAGCGGAAGTGAGTTGTGTTTTGCTGTTAGTACAATAGATGCATGGCTAGTACGGATTCTTTCACATTTTTTCAGGAAGTAGAAATAGGTGACTTCCCCTCGGCGGTCTTCAGTTTTATTCTCTTCAGTTTTTCAGGCACCGACACGGCTCTCGTAAACATGGACAGCTTGGACAGTCTGATCCTGAAACTCCACGATGTAAACGCGGTGAAATTTGGGGAATATAAACTCAAATCTGGAATGATGACGCCTATTTATATCGATCTGAGAGTTTTAGTGTCCCATCCAGCGCTCTTGAACCAGGTACCACGTGCCCTCAAATGAATTGTAATAGTTCAATAAAGTAGTCATAATTGGGCAATCTTTTAACAAATGTGATAAAAAATTATCTAGCCTACGTGCCTTTCATGAATGAGGGCATAAGGTTTGAAGTTCACATTGTTATTTGATCAGTTTATTGTAAAACTTGGGAAATCAAAGCGCCATGTGCAGTGTCCTTACAGCCTAAGTTTATTTGAGGTAAGAGCATTGTGCAACAATGTGCAGAATCACGTGTGAACATTAGTGATCAAAGGCAGTTGTAAAAACACTGCTTTTGAAGGTATAAATACTTTTGCACAGAAGTCATGTTAATAATTTTTTTCTAAATCAAATGTCAGCTTCCACAAAATGTATCTGGGAAAATCTATAAATTTGATAAAAAAAAATGTGATTTAGTGTTTAAAGCAGCATATAACGAGTTAGAAGTTATACATTTTAATGAAAGCCTCTGAAAGGCGCTTTTGCAAACTTACGTTTAGACAATAAGGCATAGTATGAAATGTGTTGTTATTGCATTCTAACTTGATACATTGCTGGTTGAATGTTGTTTTGCAGGTTGCCAGTTTCATTTACCAGAAGGTGCAGGATGAGGGTCTCCAGTTTGAGTCTGTGTGTGGGGTCCCGTACACAGCTCTGCCTCTGGCCACAATCATCTGCTCTAGACATGAGCTGCCCATGCTTATCAGGAGAAAGGAGGCCAAGGACTATGGTCAGTGTCCAATTGTAATATTGTATTGTGAAACTTTGTAAGGGAATAATAAAACAATTTTCAGTCAACCGACATATATGAAATATGCTGATACTAATAATCTGTAAATCAACTAGTTTAATGCAAGTAATTAATATGTCACGTGAGGTGACAATGTGATCAGTATCTGCACATTCAACAAAATGCATTCGGAAATGGAGATACAATTTAGACTGAAATAGTGATGCCCAAAATCCCAGAGACTGGAGTCTTTATTGAACCCAGCATACTTGGGGCAAGAAAGTTCACCCAGATATGTGGAAGTGAATGATTGGAAGTAGTTTTAGGAACCATATCTGCAGAATGGCAGATATCCTTCCATTAGTGTACCCTAGGGTAGTTGTAGCTGTATTTTAAAACAACTGTGTGATTTGTCTAGGCACTAAACGTATGGTGGAGGGCATCTGTCGAGAAGGCGATATTTGTTTGATCATTGAAGACACAGTGACCAGTGGTACCAGTATTTTGGAGACTGCAGAAGTGCTCTACAAAGAGGGACTCAAGGTACAAAACAGAGTTCACTACATCCATAAATGTCCTCATTGAGCTTTTCTCATTTTTCCTGCAGCACTAATCTCAGTATTCTTCTACCCAAATGATCACCTCTGTACTTGTCCAAATTATCTCAATCTACACACATTTGATAATTTAGACATACTATATAGTGAATTTTCTCTCTGGTGTGCTCTTTCTTAGTTCTATCTAAAACCACATTATATTCATCTTTTCTACTACTACCACACTATCTGTGAGAGAAAGAACAGATGTATCCCACCTTACCCTTGGTGCATATTAACACATCTGATAAACATGCTTTGTCTTTCAGGTGACAGATTCCATTGTTTTGATGGACAGAGAGCAGGGAGGAGTGGAGATGCTGGCGTCAAAGGGAATACGTCTTCACCCGATAATCTCTATGTTTAAACTGCTCGATGTGCTGCAGGCGGCCGAGCGAATCGACGCACAAATGGCTCAAAACGTCCGCAAATTCATTATTGAAAACAACACATTCAGGTACAATATTCATTCAGGTACAATATTGATAATTTGTAGATCAATTTGTAATATTAAATTTAGATTGGTGATGGTTTAAATGGAATCACTAATGTGCAGACTTTTCTGGCTGTATAGGCATGTAGATGTAATCTTATATTTAAATGTTGTTTAATACTTTTTAAATGTCACACATAACCATTGGTTTCACCTTCCTGTTTGTAAGTGACATTCTGAGGACGTTTGATCATTCAAAAAAAGCATTAATAAATTCATCTGTTAACAGTGCTAATGTATTATCACGCTGAATCGCATAGATTAGACATTTTCACATCAACATTCTGAAAACCACTGTTGGGCAAGAAACTATAATGCGGTATTTATTCCTTGCTGCTGTCATTTCATAGTAATTTGTTACTTTACAAAATGACTGTATTTAAAATGTAAGGCATTACACTACTACTGCATTACGTTTAAGTTACTCTCCCCAAAATAACAAAGATGCCAACCTTTTGCGCCGTATATGGACTGAACCAGGACTAAATCAGGACTAAACAAGGATTAAACGAACTGAACCAGGTCTAAAGCAAGACTGAACCGAGGACTGAAACAGGGCTGATATCATGAGTTTCTGGTTGTGGTATAAGAAAATAGGTGAGGACCACAAGAGCGCTTTCTGAAGGTTTAATACAAACGCATACAGAGCTCTGGCTCTACTGCCTACATGCAACGACAGAGAGACTGAATCTCTCTGCACTGGTGGTGGACACAGGTGTGCGGCTCATGTCAAACAGAGTGATCAATAGTTGGTCAGGCAACAACTGCAGTCATAAAAGTATACTGTGACAACCTAACTTTAGCAACAACAAATGGTTGATTGGGGTCCATCAACATTCCTTAAGGTAATTTTAGGAAATAACAGACTTTTTCTCATACTCCCAACATGAAGCTTGATTGTCCTTCAGCTAACATAAAAAACTTTCCATCAAGGACTAAACCAGGTCTAAACCAAGACTAATCTTGGACTAGGACTTGGAGAGAGAGAACCCCAAACCCGTGGAACAGGGTGTCTGCAAAGCGTGATTGGGCCCTGTGCAGCACTGAGCTCTGCGCTGGTCCTTTTGCCCACTGTTACCCGACAGTCTACAAGGGCGCACCTCGGGGCCAGTCCCGATATTCAGAACCATAATGATGGCGTTTCACCGCAGCTGATATCGCCATGATTTTAGTGAATTTAAATGAAGAAAAAACGAAAAACCCACCACTTCAATCCAGGTTAAAATAGCTTTGTAACGCGTGCTACTGACATTTATACAAAGTAAAACATTACAATTTTTTCCCCTGTAATGCCTTACATTACTGTGTTACAGCAAAAAGTAATGCATTACAGTAATTAGTTACTTTTATGGCAAGTTACTCCCAACACTGCTGAAAACTAATAATTGTGCCACTAAAAACCTATAGATACACAGGTTGTTGCACAAAATTATTATTATTATTATTATTATTATTATTACTAATAACAAATGTGATATCAGCGACTGTTATAGTTCTAGAAGTTTAGATTTTAATCATGTACTTATTTTACCCTAAAGGCCCAAAGATGAGAAGAAGAATGGTAACGGTGTATCTGTTCCCAAGAAGCCTTGTATCGAGCACAAAGAGCTGAGTTATACAGAAAGAGCCAAACTACCAAGTATGTCTTTTGATTATTATATCACTATAGAAACACTCTTTTGTCATTAGTATTCACACGTGTTAAAACGTGTTTAAATAGTAGTAGTTTGGATTTAAGCATCAGACAAATAAATTACAATTGAGTGCACAAAAGTGCATAAATAACACTTGGTGTGTCTTTTTGAAAGTATACAACATTCATAACATTATTTTTCAATAGCACCACCACTCTGTAGACAGTTGTATTGTCAACATAATTCAGGGGATCTTACGAGATTCACCCACACTCCTATGCTTTTTCCTTGTTGAACACATTAAATATGTCATGGTTACACTGATATAAATTATTCTTACAGTGCCAGAGTCAGAAGTAGATTTAAATATTGAATCTTATTTCATTTGCAGAAATTCACCCACTTGCATCCAAGTTACTGAACATCATGGAGGAGAAGCAGTCAAACCTGTGTGTGTCGGCTGATGTAACTAGCAGTGAAGAGTTATTAGAGCTCGCAGATTCACTTGGCTCCAAAATCTGTTTGCTTAAAACACACATAGACATAATTAAGGTAAGACTGTCAGCAATTTTAATTAAGTAAACAAAATGCCTTATTGGATAAAAACAAATATAAATGTTTTTAGGACTACACAACAGAAATTGGTCAGAAATTACAAGCTGTGGCCGAGAAGCACAACTTCCTTATCTTTGAAGACCGAAAGTTTGCAGACATTGGGAACACAGTCAAGCATCAATATGGAGGTAAGATACCATTTGTAGTGACAATAGTATTGAGCAAATAGAAGACAAACAAAATTTAAAGAATTGTTTTTTTTAATCATGTGACTGATTATACCATTAAAAGACCCAGGTCTGACCTACTATTTTATGTATCTTAATTACCAAACTAAAATTACCCATTTTATCATTTAAATATGATGTAGGTTGTGTATAAACCAGTCAAAAATTCAGTATTGACATAAGATATTTTAATCATCTATATCATATTTTAATCAATGCTATCCCAACTTTACTACATTGTACCATTGAATCTGTCTTTCTCTTTAGGTGGCTTGTACCAGATCTCGTCCTGGTCCCACATAGTAAATGCACACCCACTGCCTGGTCCTGGGGTGGTGAAGGGGCTCAGTGCTGTGGGCAAGCCCCTGGGCCGTGGCTGTCTACTCATAGCACAGATGAGCTCACAGGGCTCGCTGGCCACTGGAGAATACACACAAACTGCGGTTAGTATAGTTTATAAATTCTCTAGATTTTTCTTAACACAATTTGGCATTACATTTTTTTGTTCTTGCAGATGAAAATGGCAGAGGATCACTCAGATTTTGTGATGGGTTTTATCTGCGGTGGGAAGATAACCAAAAGGCCAGAGTTCATCCACATGACCCCAGGAGTGCAACTGCTGAGTAAAGGTAACATTACTAGACCTTTATAACACACTGACTTCGATTTTGCCTTTCTATTGTATGCACCCCCCACCCCGTTTATATGTAAAACTATAGCAAAGATGTTCCAAACCACAATTTTAAAACTTATATCGATGAAGTAGTTGTTTAAGTCCAAAAAAGTGAGAGATTCAGCAAAATGCTTTAATAACTGGGTGGTTTATAAAGTTTCAGAAACAGATTTTAAATAAAAGAATAGGTAATTATTATTATTGTTGTGGAATTTTGGTGCATAAGATAAGCAAGGGCACCTCCAGTTCACTGTTGACATTTCTCTGAGATTAGCTCTGGCGTCATCCAGCCATTACAGAATTTGTCCTTCTTTAACATTATCAGTATCCTTGATTAACTCGTCTCAAAAGCGGTGAGCTATGCTCTTCTAATTTTATCTCGGCCAGTCTCCTGCCCACTAAGACTCGTTAGGACCACGCTTATTTTCCCTAACAATTATGTGATCATAAGTTACCACATAGCTGATTAATGATCTTTTAGCAAGATTTCAAACTTTTAATATTATTTTTTTTCTGAAAATCCATTAGAAAAATGAATGGGAAATTTAGTTAAGGAAGGAGGAGGAAGGTGGGAAGTCACTGATGAGCTCCATATTGCCCAACTTGAAAAAAGCAGAACAAAATGTATGTAGTGTTCATCAATCAACACCAGGTGGAGCCATAGTACATAGGATAATTCCAGGTCTCACAAAGGTGATACAATTTTTCTAACTCCTGATTTGTTTGTTTTGTCAGGAGATGATTTAGGGCAGCAGTACTCCACCCCAGAGGAGGTGATCAAGAACAAAGGCTCTGATGTCATCATTGTTGGACGCGGGATCCTGGAGGCCCCTGATAGGCTGAAAGCTGCCGAGGCGTACAGGAAGTCGGGCTGGGAAGGCTACACACTACGACTGGCCTTGAGTCAACAATAGATTTGCATTTTTGTGTCTCATTTTCAAAATATTCAACTACACCTCAATCAAAGACCTATTTGTGATAATATAGTCAGTGTTACACTATTGGTATAAATAAGCAGACTTTTTGCTTTATAACTTTATGATCAATTGAATTTGTTCAATTTATGTTCTCCATTGTTTCTCCAGGACTAAACTTGGGCTTACACTTATTTCATCCATTGTAGTTCCTAATTATAGTGCAATTTTCCTACATACAATGTGTCATACTTGGATCTGCATAGTGGACTGGCATAGTAATATTCATTTTATTTTAATAATAGGCTAAATTTAAGGTAGATCTTGTATATCAGCATTCTTTATGGTGTTTAGTAAAAAAAATAAAGCATAATTTCTTTTTTTTTGTGTTAATTAGTATAGGCCATTTAATTACAAATGATGCCTGTACTTTGTAACCAAAAACCTTGTATTTCTACTTTTATTCACTGTACTGTTGATGTCCAAGGAGCATCATTTAGTTAAGTTTGATTATGATTGGTTGATCCATCTGTCCTGTTCACCTGTCTTTCCATCCTGATTTATCAATAATACACAGATATGTTGTCTTAAAGAGCCAGTGATTTAAAGTCAAGTTTCAGTCACTGATGTGAAAGGAGAAGTTCAGCAGTTTTGTTTATTGAGGACCATTTTAGACTCCTTTTGTATGTCTCCTGGTGTCCTGGTTGTTAGTTGCTGCTAAAACAGAAAACAGTATGAGGTTATTGGTTTTACATTTCTTCTGATGTCAGGTAAAATGCAATATTTCTTATATTTTTCTTTAATGTATTCTTTGTTACTTGAATTTCCAAAATGTGTGTCATCTCAAGGGACCATGAACAAATAAATCAAATATACTAATGGCTTTTAATTCCACTTGTTTTCTTTGTACAAATTAAAGTATTTTTTTATGTTGATATTGTTTAAGACATCAGCTTTATATACCTTGGTTCCAACCTTTTTCTCTCAACGGCCACAATTTTACATAAATACGTTGGTTACCACTACATACTTCTCCCTCCTGACAACCTCCTGTCTTAATATATGGTTAATAAAGATGTTATAGAACAGAAATCAACGTAAGCAATATAAAATACTATAAAATAATAATACTTTGTAAAAGATATTAACCTGCTGTCCTTTCATTATAATTCAAGGCCTCGTTTGTCTATTGTTGAAACCTCTGAGGTGTGGATGTTTGGAGACCCAAATCTACTGTACACTAACTGCTGTATACTTTACTATATAAATATAATGTTACAATGTCCTTCTCTAGCTTTGACTTAGTAAGAAATTAGTCACTGTATGAAAGAAAAGAAAGTGATGTTAAAATTCTGTTTAGAAACTACGTGCTACTGTAAGATTATATTCTCTGATAATACGACAGGAACAATAGCAGGAGAGAAAATGAGGGGGAAAAAAAGCCTAAATTAAATTATTTTTTTTTACAGTCATTGTAGGTTTGTAGTACTGACTCCTCACTATACTATATTCGGACAAAGTTACGCAGAAAGTCATTTGCAAGGCACATATATGTAAATATACGCGTCGGGATACATCAAGTCGGGGCCTGCGCGCTGAGGCGGCTGCTCCGGCCCTCACAATGGACCCTTTACACATCAGCGCGGGCACAAAGGTCACACGCGTTGCCTGGTGATTGGAGAAGAGAAGGAGGACACACACACACACACACACACGCACACGCACACACATACACAGGTCATAACCGCATCTAGAGCTCACACACCTCTCGCTTTGTGTCAATATTGGATCAGAGTAACGCACCATGCGACAGGTGTCTGCCCGAGGACGATCTACTCACAGGAGCGCACCGAAGGGAGGGGGAGAGGCAGGGGAGGGGTGATGGAGGGGCAGAGACGAAACACACAGGTATAAAAGGTGTGTATCTGTCTCTGGCACGGCACATCCAGTGCGCGTAAAGACGCGTCATACCATGCTCGTTGCACGTCCGTTTGCTACGTTTACAGGTAAGCTATAACTTATAGCTTAATCTCAAATGTGCTACTTTAACTGGTCAACTAACATTTCCAAACTAACTTTTTTGTTAACAGGAGTATACCACGAAGTTCTTGGAGCATCATTTTGACTTTGTCCGTATTTGCTTCACGTTGAGCCTCACGTACAATACCTGAAGGTGATGTTTTGTTCGTTCGGCTCGCGTTATGCAGGTACGGATTGACATCTGTAAAGACATCGACAATGATTCTTTTCAACTTTTTTCCTAACACGGAGCATCGTTTTCGTAAAAGTTCCTAGCTATGCAAATGATGGACTGTCTTCTTGACGCATGCGTAATAATTAAAGGCGCCAAATGGTTTGAATTGATGGATGCACTGCAACTTCTGCTATGTTACGGAGACTTGTAATGAGGAAAATACGTTGGACATATGTGTATGTATGCACAATGAATTTCAATAAAAGAGTTTGTTAAACCGAAGCTCCAGGTGTGTAGGACGTTTCACTGAATGGGTAGAGCCGCTTATTTGCATACAGCTGTTGAGAGATAAGGCTTTGGAAAACTGACTTTTAATGTTAAGAACTACTAGCCCTAGTTGTATCAGTAGAACATTTTGACCATTTATATTATAGGCCAAACACATTATTTTAAATATACAGTATAAACAGTTAAAGTGCACACTAACTCCCATGTAATTTCTTGGGGAAACAATAGACTGGACTGTTCCATATGTTATTCAAGCCCCAACTTTGTAGCTTGTTTCAATGCATTTTAATGACCAAAAGTTTCTCCACTGAAGTTTTTGACATTTACAACTTGAGTAATGATCTCTATGTTTTTTCCCATTGGCACACTGACAAGACAGTGGTGCTTTTTCCACTGGGCCCTATATTCATTACTGTCCGTCTCTTGCGTCACTGGTCCACAGAGACAGCGGCTTAATGGGAGGTTGTGGTAATCATTAACTAAACATTAACTTCACACACATGCATCTGATAGAACCATCTGCTTTTTGGATGCACAATTCATTATGTTAAATAAGAGCTTTGGAGCATATGGTACAATGAGTTGTGGTCAATGAATAGTAATAGTCAATTGCATTTAGTCTTAATCAGGACCTTTTGTGGAGGGTTTAGATGCTCTTGAAGGAACGTTTTCTGATGGAGGGTCCCACTGATTCAATTAGGTGTTTTTATTGCCAAAAATAAACTTATTTTTGGGGGAGTCACCTGCTTGTCCCCATGGAAATTGTTAAGTCTTGATCCATTTTGTGAAACATTTTAGACAAAACAACAATATATACATAAAAAAAGAAAAGAAAAGATAAAAATGTGCATAGTGGTCCTTAAACCATATTCAGAACGATGTCATCAAAATTACTGTATTGCTTTATCATAATAAATAAAAAAAATAGTAATCACCAATATGTTACAACATTTTATGCACAATTCAACTAAATGAATGGGTTAGGCATATGGTAAAGATTTTATTATAAGATTTTGATCAAGGTTAGCTCTCAACAACTGCTTTTTCATATTTTGCGACTGTACAACCTGACACTAAATGGCAATAGAACGGTTGTGTTTACTGTGAGATTAAAATTTTCAGATTATTTCCAAGTCAAACATGTTCACAGTCTTTGTTTTGTTTTCAAAGTATAAATGTCACCGTGTTCATCCCTTGTATATGAGACACCCTATAGAGACACCTGAGTAAGAGAATGGTTACTTTGAAACCATTTTGAAGTATGAGTATTTTCTTGTATGAGTATTTTAGTAGTATGAGTATTTTCTATGAGTAAATCTACTGTTTCCAACTGCTATCTTTGGCAACTTTAAAACAATATACATAAAAAAATGACTAAATGTATGTAGCTTTTTAAATTTTGGTTGGACCAAAGAAAAGGTAAAAAAGACAAAGAACTAGGTAAAAGACGTAATTTTTTTAGAACAATGTTGATTAAATAAGTTAGAAATCCACTGAAGAAGAAATATTGTAAAAACATGAAATATGATTATTCCTCAACGTGAATACATGTCCTCGGAATGAATAAACATAACTACTAACTTCTGCCTTTAACCTGTCATATAGCTGATTAGTAGTACATGGCTCTATGAGAGGAACCATTTGCCTGTCCTAAGCTTCCAGTCAATATTTGTTTAAAGCCAGAGTGGAGCAGAGCACACACTCCTGGGTATCCTGGTTACCTGTCCCATGTCAGGTTAAAGCCACTGTCCCGACTGGTACTGCCGCAGCTACACCCTTTATCCTCAATTTGTTCAGGACACAATGAGACATAATGCAGCCTCAGTACTTCCAAGAGGCTACAGGCTGGATTCATTCATTCATACAGACTATTTAGGGACTCTACACCTGTATTACTCACAATGGATTTTAATATTTTGAATGAACGCAGACTAAGATTTTAAATAGATTGTGTTACAATTCTTCGCTTTACTTTGACATATTATTTAATTATTTAAGGTTAACTTTTCATTTGTTGTGGCTGTATTTTTCAAGGAAGCAGTGAAGAAAGTCTCATAAAAGCCCTGATACTGCAACTGCAACTGCTTTTCCCCTTGAAATGGCATTAAACTGATTGTATTAGGTAAAAATCCTATATAAAACATGCATTTATATTGTGAGCAGGCCCGCCTCTCCACAGGTCTAACCTATAACTTGCCCTGCTGGTGTAATCTTCTGGTCTCCATTGAGAAAGATGAGATAAATAAGTTAAATGCCATACTGTGGAACATTCAGGCAAAGAAATAACATAGAGATAAACGTGTGGTAGATTCTCCACCAGAAACGTGACATGGTGGGCCTTTAATGTTTTACGTATTTTACATGAGTCCTATTGTTACTGACTGAAATAATATAGACTTCACATTACTCACATTTCTTCTTTAGTTCACACAATTACTTCTACTACACATAGTACTTCTACTTTTGGTTAGGGTAAATGCATTTACTATTACTATAATTACAAAAAGACAAAACATGTTATGCCCCAAAGTGTTCCAAAATATAAGCTTACTACAATATACACCATTCAAATTGATCTGACTCATGGTTAGTTCATAGTTGTATTGTATTCCATTGACTTTAGCAGCATTAAACTGGTGTTGACCTTTACAAGACCCCAAATCTCCCTCCACCCTGATCTGTGCTGACTGATTGTATCTGTATTGTTGAAATAAGATTATATTTAGTGTCCTGTTTTGCTAAAGTGTTCTCAGTCCACAGTTGAAATGGTTTGGAGAAATAGTGCCTCAGGGCTGTGTGCTGCCTCCTCTGACAGTTACTGATAATATGAGACATGCAAATGCCCCACGGCCACATCCACTTCAGCTTTTCACTGTTGTTACAATGGTGTTTGGGGCAGTTTTTAAATTTGGGGTGAAAAAAACAAAAAAACATGCAGATGCAGTCATTTAAAATACAGCTGTCTGAGGTCTATCTTTCTATGGTGGAATTAAGTCTACATAGTAGATATTTAAGTCACAAGGGCTAGACACTAAACCTACTGTTAAAGCAATGTAGGCCCATACATCGTAAAATATGCAAAAATACTGGCAATTTGGGTCCCTTCAGTCACACTAATGGGAAGAATAAGTAAAAGTAAGATCTATAGTTATGCTACCACTATTGCTGGTATTACTGGTATTATCAGTTTATTCATTTGTAAAAAATAATACATCAATAATAATGCTTACCACTTATATTGGTATTATAGTTTGTCACTGCCTCTCAAAGCACTACACTCCATTGTAGTTTCAACAGTTTTACAGCAGCTACTATTCCTTTTACACTTACAACTTATAGCTTCTACTTGTACTAGAAATACACCTGGCAAAAATACTTTTATTTCTAAAACTAAACCTATATTCAAGAAATATTGCTTTGCCTGTTTTTCAGTAATGCATTTGACAAGAAGGAGCTCATTGGTCGTCTATCATTTTGAATAAAATGACATTTCTCTCACTTCAGATGAAGAATTTACAGCTTCGCTGATCAATTCTTCAGAAATCTGCAATGTTTTTCAGTCAGTTATAATAGCCATATTTGTTTTGATACATACAGACCATGCATTTCCCTCACCAGACTCACATCTTCTTAAAGCATTGGTTATTCAGTATATTCCGGATGCAAGGCAAACTGCTACTGCAAGAGCTTGGCCTACTACTGTCCCTGCGCTATCGAGGTCAACATGGATCCTGTTGGAAAGCATTATCCACAGTATATTTTTTAGAGAATGTGGGATTAGTTGCCATGGTGCTCAATAGACTTTCATTGAGAAAAATAAGATGCACAGAACCTTATACTAGGCCCATGTTACATGAGACATAAACATGATTTGGTTGTTTGGTCCAGTGGCCATTCAGAGATCACGGGGGTTGTGAGGAGGCCAGCAGATGTTCGCTCAGCGGCACCTTCACCTGGATTAGTCACCATAGAAACCTTCCACCTGCAGAAGGGCATTTATTCAGTGGACCAGTGTCTGTGTGGGTCATTTGTGTGTGCGTGTGTGGTTGTATGCAAACGTGTGTACAGGTGCTGTTACTGACTATTCAAATACCTGAGACTCAGACTGACCCAGAAATAAGATTTACCCCCTGACAACCAGCCAGGGGCAGCTCCTGGCATTTTTAAGATGGGTTAAGGAGGGATATTTGTATATTTGTAGTTTTATTTTAGCTTCATTTTAAACTGTGGTTGTCATTTGAACATTTTTAGATGGTATTGGATGAAAAAGAGACAAAAAGCTCCCTAGTTCTGCCCTTGAAGACAGCTGCTGATAATCTCATTTTAATTTTAGCAATCACCTAATCAAAAAACTCTTAACATTCCATCTTATTTTTCCTAAAATGACTCTCAATTCAAACTGAATCTGTTTCTGAACCCTTTGGAGCACAAACAAATGAAGCTGAGGCACTGTAGTTTTGATCTCTCTGTCTGATTTAGTTTAATTTTAAGTGGGAACAAGCTCAACACAGAGATTTCAAATTCTGGTAAATACAAGAAATAAGAAAAGTAGTGTAGTATAGTATAGTACAGCTGGTGTCCCCCGATTTGATCTGAGAGACAGTAGACTGAGCTGCAATTGGGTCTTGATAATTCCCATGTCAATGCTGAAACATACCTCAGTTATAATGAGATTTAGGGGGAAAAATCCAGGCAGAATTAATATAAAAGTCCTATTACATTTTT